AGCTAATGCCATCAGTACGTATATTCCAGACCCAGGATATTCTCTCAACTCACATTGAATAGATATTGCAATAACATATCAGACTCATCTTTGGTTACCCCGTTGATACGACGAGTAAATCCCTTGTTTACATACACCGACTTCCACCCAGTAACCGCTATCGCAATGTTAGCCGTACCAGACCGCAAACTGAAGGAAGACAGAGAGAACATACGATTAGTCCGCACAACCGGATGAACGGCCGTAAGCTCCTCACCATGATTGAGAGGCGAGCCCCGAATACCCTTTCGTAGGGGGTTCCCCAATCTCCGCGCTTCATCATGGAAGAACGTAGCATCATGCGTCGCCGTCAACCCTTCCAGGAACTCCGCCATTTGCGGCGAGAGCCGATCATAGACCTCATACCCCGAGGCCCACAGCGTGTCGCCGCCTGTTTCGGGGAGAGTGTGGATCTTCAGCATCGCATAGTCGGAGGGTACGCGCTCGAAACTGATGTCAGTGTGCCATCCTACTGAAGCGAATCGGCTCGTGTCGCTGAGCTGATGTGTCAGACCGCCTCCTTTCTTCTGCTTCTCGCTGCTGATGACGCTGATTTGGTCACCCAGCTCGCTTCCTTCTTCCGTCAGTGGGTGGACGTGCAAGGCTGATGATTCTGGCTGTTTTGCTGCGTTAGTAGGTCTGCGGAGAGTATGAGTCTGGGCGCGGGCAGCTCACGCATCCTGCAATGACTGATAGCTTTTCACCAAACTGGCGCATTTCTTGTGGGGTTAGGTCTTGGTTCCGGAGGAAGACTACACCTCTTCTGGAGACTGGTCATTGTTAGAATAGTGAATCGACGTGATGAGATTATATATGGCCACTAACTCGTCGCAGCAAGGTCTTTGATTATCCGATCGCATTCTTCTGACTTGAGGATCTCGGCGACTTGGACGCCATAATACTCTCTCCCGATAACGGGCGTGAGGTCATGGTGGGTATATGTGTCTAGGGTGCCGGTATATTCCAATGGCTGTGAGATGCGCGGACGAGATTGCTCATTGCCTCCCCGTATCGTTGCGGGAGTCGCATTATCGACAGCAGTAGGCATGGCGAATGAAGGTTCTCTCCGTCTTGTATAGAAAATATATATATATACCAGAGGAAGGTCCACAGAGCGTGAAGTTCCAGATTAAAATTGCAAGAAAAGGCAACAGCAGGGAATCACACCATTTCTATATATCCTCCCATCCCCAACAAAATATCGCAAGCGACGCTTTCATCCCCACATCATCTCGCGTGTACGTCTCATGGTCCTTGAATCCGATTGTTCCGCATCGCGACCGATCAGCCACCAGTGGAAGCCACGACCATGCCCCTCCTTTGGATAGTTCATGCAGATATTCCATTGGTGTGAAAACAAGCTTGGCTACGAGTGGGATGGCGTCCCCGCATTTCTTCACATTCGAGCTGGAGGAATCCCACGCGATCATTGGCTGGCGTCGGTGAAATTCTCGGAGGCCTCCTCTTGTCGTCTAAACGATGGTGTGCTTCTAGCTTCCGCTGGTGCAATTTCGTGTCTAGCCGGTTTGGGTCTGAACCTTCCCTCTCTCAGTTCTGGAGAACACCACGACACGTGTTCTCGTTACGACGAAGAGTGAATGCGGGACTGGCTGAAGAATATCTACAGGTGATGATTATGCAATCTTCATTTTCCGTGGCTGCGGAAATCACTATAGACATACGGAGCACATTGTCTGTGTGGATGTCGTCCGGCTAAGTGTTTCCCCGGTAGCCAGGTATGTACAGTAATTGTCGTTAGATGCATTTTGCTCACTGTGGTCCCTCGTACTTGAGCTATATATTCAATATTAACATTAAAACGCATTACAACATAATCATCTCCCTCGCCAAAATAAAGATGGCGATTCCGAGCGAGAATAGACGCATGGCATGGGACGGTGCCATGGTACCATCCGCCCCGGAAGTGCCAACCCAGGCATTATAGTTCTGGAACCCCTTCTCCTCGCTAGGACACTCGGACGTGATGTGCTCGCCAGAGATACTGGCGATCTCCTTATCGCCGCGTGATATGCTCACTTTCACGTTTCCGGACTGGGTAAAGGGCACACTGCCATGGTAGACTCCCTTTCCGTCCTTGGGGACATTATCCCAGCTGCCTGTCACCGTGGTTTTCCCGATACTGATCTTCACATCGGCCGTAGAGTTGAGAAGCGCCGAGTACATGATGCGATCGTGCACAATCTCAGACGGCTTGTACTCGACCTGGCCTTGGCTTTCCGAGTTTCCGGTAGTGCCGCCGGTGGTGCATGCCGACGCCGGATGGAGACGATACCAGGTCACAACGTTCTCTTCCTTGATCGGAATTGTCGAGTTCGGGTTCTTGTACTGATCGACGACGTACGGCAGGAATGTGCGCCAACCATCGTGGGGCATGTTTTTGGCGTAGTTGAAGGGGGCCTCCCCGCGGTTGAACGCCTCATAGCTATCATCATTCAGCGGGCCAATATAATGCGACTCGCCGTAGTCATTCCAAGAAATGATCTGGACGAACTCCGGCTGGAAAGAAATGACCTCCTCCCAGCGATCATACCACAGGCTATCACCGGCCCATACCCAGTTCTTGTCAAAGCCGGGCATATTGGTGTAGAACCAGGGCGACACCGGCATCATGTATGGGCGACCGTCCAGCGCATGTTTGTATGCATCGTCGGACGAGGTATTCATGCGGGTAGGCCCGTTCGGCCAGGCGGCCCAGCTGAATAGCCCATCCACATAGCTTCTGTTGGCGGCGTCTTGGGGACCGACGGATGAGAAGTCGGGGATGAAGAAGGCACCGGTTTGTTTCTTGATCTCAGGCCAGTCTTTGGATGTTGCGCCCTCGAAGGTGGACATGAATGGTTTGGAGTCGTATTTGTAATAGGCCGGGCGGTCTTTGTACTTGTTCATGAGGTCGATCGTGTCTTGCTTGGGCCAGGATCCGTTCCCGGCATAGTCAAATGAGAAGAAGAGTTTGAAGTCGAGGTCGTCGGCTTGGTCGAAGGCTTTATCAAGGGTCGCGGGGAGCATCTCGTTGTGGGCCATGTTCAGCGCGAACCCGTCGATGTGGGCGTTTTGGGCCAGTTGGATGTCCTTTTTCCATTGTTTATCTGAGAAATCGGCACTATTACCCACCTAGTATAAGATATAGTATGTCAGTAGATGTACTTCAGGCGGGGGGAAGGATTCGAGTACCATGAAATGGGCAAAGACTGCCTTGGCCTGGGCTTGTGCGCAGCATGACAGTAAAGCAAGAGCGTAGAGCCGCTGCATGGTGGGTGGAGTGAACGTTGACCGATGCACGCAAAGGGGCCGTGACTTTCTCACGACAATATGGCGTCCAGACAGTATTAAATATTGCGAGAATGCGACGTGGTGTTTGTATACCCAGCAGGATGAGGGCTCATATTGAGATGATCACTACCGGGTCGGGCCAGATTTTTACTGGCTCAATACCACTAGTATACAGCGGAACGGGAGTTACCACTAGCCTCAGGGTTCAGGGTCTGGCCTACTATTATCGGTTAGGCCCCGGCCCTAATTTTAGAACAAGGCCAATAACCAACTACCTTCGTAGACCAGTCGAAAAGAATGTTTCTCAGCATACATTCGTGGTATTTGACGTCGAAGTTGCTTTGACCGGTATCTTTAGCTTTATTGTATGCACGTCGCAGGAGAATTCACTAGTTCATGCACGGGGGGACACATCGCAATGTGACTTTAAATGTGTTTTCCCACAGCTCACACTCAACCTGTCATATTTGTGATATATCCGATCGACCGTGCACGAACTGCTGCAGGGCAGAATGAGAGCTCCAGTTTTATGGAAACTCTTCAGCCACTTTGGGCAGCAGTCAATTGAACCCATTGACGTGTATGCTGCCCTTGCAGGCGCGATAGAGAGTGTGCTGGGTAACACCGAAGATCTCCAAACCTAAACAGCGAGGTATTGATACTAAATGCTCAATCAGCAGAAGGTTGTCTTCAATCTGACAATCCATTCGTTGAGATGGGGGTTCCCACACATCTGCTGTTTGCAGGAAGATCCAACTCGGCCTTTCCACGATGTACAGCGAATCTGCTTCTATATTCTTGTAGGGGGAAAGTCCCTACCGGAAGAGTTGTAATCGTTGAATAATGAATCAGATCTCGTCCCTTGAAAACCCGAGTTAAGAAAGTAACTGGAATCCTATCAAACTATTCAAGTTCTAATTTTGAATATGATGAATATCTTGAGAGACAACTCGATGGGAGATTGGCGGGTGTTAGAGAATTCTTTTCTTTTTCTTTCCTTTTTTTTTTTTTTTTAAAAAAAAATATTGGTTACTCGTTTGACAAAGGTTGCAGAACATGATGTTTCCACCGAAGCTCTTGGTCAAACGATCGTGTTATTCACGATAATTTGTCCATACAAATGCTCTCGCTTCTTCCTAATCAGTTGTATCAGCTCGATTTTCTCAGCTGTAAAGCTGGATCCGGTTCACCGCGCTCATTCCTTCGGACTGATCTTGGCCAGCCCAGCATTTCCGAGCGGTTCCATCCAGGCGATCGGTTCCCACGGGAGTTCTAGCTCCGGCACATCCGGTGGACATGGGTCGGGCAGATTCATTTCCGGGAAGAAGGAGTTCAGGAATGAAAGACTTCTCTAATTCAAACCCATTGGTCTCTCATTCATGCGTTCCACCTCGGTTCGGGAGTTCTGTATAGGGGATTACCTAACATAATCTTTTGACTGGCCGCATATATTTCTCCCCACATCATACAGAGGCTCAGAGCATTGTGGCAATGACGATCCTATAATAGAGGCGACAGAAAGTCCTAACAGCGAGCATTGAAACTTATAGATATGCGAGATACTTTCTCGAACTGGACCGCCGTTGAAAAGTTTGAAATTACTCTTAGCATCTTTGAGCGGATTTGACTATCCGAGCAGATCTCAGTTTGATTGTACCCTGGTAATCACAATGCGCTCGCTATTGATCTTCTCTGTGCTGGCATTTGCTGGGTCCATCGTGGCTCAAGCTATAGAGTCAAGTGATGTCCCGGCCCAGTGCAAGGATGTTTGCGCCCCCGTGGTCAGCCTGACGTCCATTTGCGATAGCAGCAATACCGATGAGGCAGCTGAGTTGAAATGTGTCTGAGATGATCCCCAGGCATCGACTAGCATTCCCAATTGTGCTGCGTGCCTGGACAAGTACAGCAAAGACGGCAAAGACAACGGTACTTTTTTCCCCATTGAGATGAAGCGGCAGATGTACTAAATCCTATAGACGCCAATAACCTTATCCGAGAGTGCTCGTTTACCTCGACCACATATACTGCTGACTCCTCTCCCTCTGCCACATCCAACTCGGCCGGCACGACTTCCCCTAGTACGACTTCGAGCAGTGGAACGATGTCAGTCACTTCCACGGATAGAACTGCGTCTGCCACAGGCAGCTCTACTGGCTCAAAGTCTGCAGCGGCGACTACAAATGCAGCGGGCAAGTCAGTGAAGCTACAGACTGGGCTTTTTGGAGCAGGTCTTCTTGGCCTCCTGCCATTTGCTGGGCACTAAGATCTCAATCATGCTACGGACGAAAACCTTGAATATTCGACAGAGAAAGATCAAGCGCACCTTGAATCATTGCTTCATCTGGAAATACATAAACCGTACATCTCGTGTGCTGTCTTGCGAAATTGATACTATTCGTAAATGTTTTAATATCTCAAATGTTCCCCCTACTCAAAACCTCCGAATAGATAGTATTTTAAACAGGAGCCTACAGATCGTTCAATTTAGCGTTCTGGTGGTGGAGGGTCAAATAATTTTAACGAATATCGAGAAGGGTTCTAGTTAGTGATATTGGACCATTCCTTCAGTTCGTCACATAATAGTACACTAGAGGCCACCCTGGCGCTGTGGTTATTGCTAGAATAGAGGGGATTATTGGGATAGATGACCAAAATTGCCATGAATAGTGGCAACTAATATTATCTGTGGTTATTGAAATATATATCGAAGAGGGGGAAAGGCACGAATGCTGCCTGTGGGCACAGGAGTACCGACGAAAGCAGGAAACCCCACACGCCGTAGAATGCATCCTGGAATATGAGAACCGAAACAGATCGATGCAACAAGATATATGTAAGTTGTATCTAACATGGAGATGGTGAATCCAACGGCAGCCAGCCAGCAATTTACACCTAACATTTCAGGGATAAAGGCACAACTTCCTCTCTCGGATGCCCTATTATTTTGAAAATGTCCGCACCAGAGACACTAAGGCAGCCCTTAATTTGGGCAGGCTTGGCGGGAAGCACAATAAGAACAGTTATGTAAGGGGATGACAGCAGACACATAAGGTTGTAGCCTTTGCATATGCGTAAAGTCTGGAGATCCTATTACAAGGGAAGTCCCAAGTTAAGGCTGCAGATACCACTGCATTTCAAGGATCTCAAAGGATGGCAGTGGCAATCCTTCAGGATCCGGAGTTGTAATTTAAATGGCGTGGCCAGATTCAATCAACTCATGGGTGTAACAGTCGCACAGTACGCAGTTCTTTGCAGAGGCAACGTACCGTCCGATGATGGATTTGTTACAAGGCTTTACCTCCCTCTTTAGTGCATCAGGCAACCAGTAAAACTCGAGCCCCAATTTGACCGGCCGAAGTGCAAAACGGGCTGTGTTCCATAAACGGTGGACATGTGCGCAAGTACATAGTAGGTTCTTCGTTGTCTCAGTGCCATTTCAAAACCTGCTGGTTGCCATCTTTTGATTCCGTCAGCGGACCAGAAGCAAGAGAGAATATCTCAAAATTTATCCCTCTCTGTTTTGCGTTGATGACGAACGCCGAGAGCAAAGGGTATCAGATCTGCAATTTGCAGAGGTTCTCCGGCTTTGGTGACGATATATCTGTGTTGATCGCGGTTTGCAGTGTCATCTGCGGCCTTGGCTGAACGAGTTGTGGGACGCTCGCACTCAGTTGGTGGGGACCATAACGTACAATTCCTCAGTGCTGGGTAATAATCCCGCCTGAGGTCGCCTGAGCAAACCAAGGAAGTTTCTGGATTCTTCGCATATTGGGCTAAAAGCTGAACCCTGTTCATATCCGCGAGCCAGAGAAAGGCCCATATAACAGAGTCGATCTCACTGACACCAGTCTCAGAGATCTGTTTAATTAATTCCAGGCGTCCTGCCTGTTCAAACTCAGGAGCTGGGTTCATGGCAGATAGACCTGGTCGGTCGGCACTGGGCACAGGTCTCAGGGGCGAGGGTGGGGTGAGTGTTATCTGAGAACCTCACAGGTTCGAATAAAAGCAGAGTGATAGGTAGTTGTGAAGAGGGTGGCATAAGAGAAGCAGAGAGAGAAAGGAGGAGAAGTTTGTATTTCCTCAGTTAGGGTCTCGTGGAAGGTGCGACCCTAACGTCATAAGTAGGGAGGTAGGTAAGTAGGTGAGTAATGCGCTCGGGGTACGGTGTCAAGGCGCAGTTTGTATTTGACGAAAGTACATGACTAGGTTCTCCCCTCAGTGCGAAGGAACACATAGTCTCCCGATATTGCATCATCACTGCCTGGAGTTGAGGAGCGTGTTCGCGGATGACCTGTCCAGATACCCAGCCCCAATTTCCGTGCTTTGCCCTCGATGTCATGACGTTGATGCGACGTGATGAGGCCACAAAGCCAGGATATACGCTGTGTGTCCTGAGCATGACAATTACAGCATCCCCCTCAGCCTCCTGCTCTCCATCGACGGCCTGGATGCGTGGCTTTGTCTCCAGTCCTGGGTATGTTTCTTCCCATTTCTGCGCGGTTAAAGCTACTTGCGCCTTGTATGGAGAGACTATCAGGATGTTTCGACCGTATTGCGGCCGTTGCCTTATGGCTCTCGCTAGGCAGATAATCTTAGCGATCTCTGCTTCCCCATGGTTGAGTATCGACATGGAAGCATCGCGGGATGTCTGGCCTGCGCAATTCACGAACCCAATCTCTCGAGGGAGATGCCATGTGGAATTTCTCCAACTCACAGTAACTGCGCCATTAAACAGGCGGCTTACTTCATGGAATAAATCACATGAGCTGACCGGACCTGTCCGTTGTAGAGTACTTCGGAAGTAGGGGCGTAGAGACGAGCATGTGAGCGATATTGGATATCCAACATCACAGATGGATATCCCGCGACATGAAGCCGTTCAAAAGCCGAGGTAGCCCACACCCTCTGGCCCTCTTCGGCGAAGACTGGAGGGCAGAGCTGTTTGTAGTCCCCCACCATAAGAACCCTGTTCACGCTGGACAGAACCGAAAGTGCATAAAAAATCTCAGGATGATCCCTGAAAAAACTGGCCTCGTCGAATAAAGACTATGAAAGGAGATAGGATAGAAAGAGAAAGTGGGAGGGGGGATTGGCACGTCTTTTATAAGAAACAGAAGGTAGGAGATAGTGAAAAAAGCACAAGAAGGTAGTCAGTGAAGAATGGGTTGCCTATGTACGTGACGCTGAGGCCCTATTCATACAGCCTAGGAAACAAAAGGAATTGAAAGATTCATTCCATTCGACCATGGTGTATGGGGTGAATAGATGACGTGAAATAAAAGGAACTATGGAATATCCTCAAGTCGTCTCCTCTATTAACTACAATGTGCTTAGTTCTACTAGTAGGTACTACCACCGCTGTGCCTCAGTCACAAACACCCTCCAGCGTGGAATGCCGATAAGTTAGTCAAGTCATAATATCATTCGAATTCATCATAAGACCCTAATTTCTGTCTTTTATTCTATAAGCTCCACAGTCCTATATTTGGTCGCGCTCTACAGAATCATGGGAAGGCCATAGTATGACTATTCGATTATATGGTACCCTGTGACAATCCAAACAAACATTTTTCAGAATATTTATAGCAGTACATATTATTCTAAGACCCTATATACTAAGCTACACTAAACTATAAAGGAAGTATACAATACTTATACAGTCCCCGTAACCAGATCAGACAATTGCTATAATATCACTTAAAGTAAAACGGAACTTCACAGAATCCACTTCCATCTTCGTGAGGTGACACTATAGTCCGATTTCAGTCATGCGATGATGGTGCCCGTAAGAGTTGAAAATCATCCCCTTGAGAAACTGTTGCTTCAGGAACAGTTTGAACCTGAGTTGTCAGCTTTGAGTCTGCTCCTCGAAGTATATACTACTAAATAACATGGGAATTGAATGGCTGGCTGAAGTCTACCACCTCTCGTTAGCGATTTCGATATTTCGATACCCCCTGCGCCAGCATTCCAGCGGCAACTAAATTGTATGTAGCCGAGGATGATAGTTGTGAGTATCTAGAAACCTTATCTGGCCTATCTGCTAGAAGCGAAAAACATCCCAGGAGAAGTAGCTTCGAGAAATATGGTATATTGTTGGGAGAATACCGAAGTTGATGCAAGGGACGAGCCTCCTTCCGGTAAATGACACGTCTGAATACTAATTACCAGTGAACGAAGCTGCGGTGAGGGACCAGGCCTTCGGCGCAAGCTGCAAGGGGGATGTTGAAAAATGAGAGAGGAAGGAAGAATGCAGGCACAGGTTTTCAGGGAGGTCAAGTCGAAGTCGAATTAAAGCTGGCAGATGCCCATCCTATTCATTGGAAGAACCACGGACTGCATGCAACAATCCTTTCATGGGATACTCCATGGCACTCGATTGCAGGAAATGACCCAGTAAAATAAGGAAAAGAGAAAGATAAAAAATATTAAAATAGCGTTACAACATGGTACATCTGCAAGCAAGGCCCGCTAACGCGGTTGGAAAGCAGCAACCATCGTTCTTCACTATACCGGGTCCACTCAAGTGCATAGCAATGTCACTTTTTCTTACTCAGATATCTGTTGGTGTTAATGCCAGCTCTGCCCAATCCCCTATCCCAACTACATCTCTGATCAGACACGGTCATTCGCTCGACATCCGGTCCCGAAACATCGTTCTACCCAGTGATCTTCAGGAGATCATTCTGAATGGCCCCGATGAGCAAAAGGCCCGCGAGTGGAATCTTCACTATACGTCCGAGCCACATTTTGTGGGCCAAGGAGAACCGCTCGCTGAGTGGACTCAAGACAAATGGCGCGAATTTGGAATTGAGAACATTTCCATCAAGTCATATCCAGTTCCAGATGGGCCCACCCTGCCGCTGTATCAAAGGCTTGCTTTACTCGAGCGGAAGCCTGAGAACGACGACGACACAGTGTCATTCAACGCTAGCCTGAACGAAGGTTCGACCTTCGTGAACCCCATCAGCGGAAAGATTATCAGCACTCCTCAATTCTTCTCCAGTACACCAAGTGCAAATGTTACGGCACCCTTTGTGTTTGTGAATTATGGTACGGATTCAGACTACGATGAGCTACAACAATCCAATATCGATGTGAGTGGCAAGATTGGGATTATGAAACAAGGTGAACCGTACATCCCTAGCGCGCTATATGGAGCACAGAAAAGAGGCATGGTAGGCTTGGTAGTTTATCTCGATCCGCAGTTTGACGAAAATATCACCGAAGCACATGGCTACTTGCCGTTCCCTGAAGGCCCGGCTAGGGCACCAAGCAGCATGGTGCGGCGAATGGGCCTCCCTAGCATCGATCCTTCACTAAAGATCCCTGTCATACCAATCTCATACTCCGATGCCCTCCCATTTCTCAAGGCTCTTAACGGCCATGGGCCACAGGCGAGCGAGCTCAGCACCGCTTGGCAGGGAGGCCAGTTAGGATATCTAGGGGTCAATTACAACGTTGGACCATCACCGGACGGCTTGACCATGAACCTAGTGAACACATTTCAGAGTTACAATGTCTCTGTATACAATGTTGTCGGGGCGATAAAGGGCGAGATTGAGGACGAAGTGATCATCCTAGGAAACCATCGTGATGCGTGGGCTGCTGGTGCTGGCGACCCAAATAGTGGTTCTGCAGCCCTAAATGAAGTCATCCGTACGCTTGGTACCGCTATGAAGAAAGGTTGGAGACCATTCAGAACCATAGTATTTGTCAGTTGGGATGCCCATGAGACAGGAGGCTTGGGGTCCTCCCGCTGGCTAAAGGAAAATCTACCGTGGTTGTCTGAAGCGGCTGTCTCTTATCTTGAAATTGAGACTGCTGCTACTGGCACAAAGCTCTTCGCCAAATCCAGTCCTCTTCTACGCGACGTCATCTATGCTGCCGCTGAGAAGGTTCTCTCCCCCGACCAGAGTCAACCGGGACAGAGCATCATGGATGTATGGGGTGGTCAGCTAGAGCCAGAAGGCGGAGGGGACACTAATAGTTTCGTTTCAAATGGTTTTGCCTCCCTCAACCTTGGCTTTGCTCCTGGTCCAACGGATCCTATCTTCCACTGGCACTCGGACTTCGACAATATACAATGGATGGACACTTTCGGGGACCCAACCTACGAGTATCATACTGCAAGTGCTAAACTGTGGGCGCTGGCTGCAACGCACTTAGCAGACGAGCCGGTCATTGCCTTCAATACCACGGCATACGCTGTAGCATTGGATGGTTATCTAGACGAGCTGAAAGACGCATTGAATAAAGCAACATCAGCCGAAGTCGATCAAGAAGGGCAAGATTCCTGTACTGTCAATCTCCAATCATTGAAAGATACAATTGCAGAGCTACATCGGGTGGCTGTTCAGTTTGACACGGCTGCAGCAGACCTTGCAGCAACGCTGGCCGGAAAAAATACGACGATAACGTCTTCAACCTACCAGGAAGATAAGAAGATCCAGGATATTAACCGGAAGTACAGAAAATTTGAGAGACAATTCGTGGCTGCCTCAAATAGTTCAGGAGCAGGTTCATCCCATGTGGTGTATTCGCGATCCTCGTACAAGTTTCCTGAGCCTACTTTCCCCGATGTTACGAGCAACGTGAAAGCCGGGAATTGGTGCAATGCAGAGGTAAGTTCTCTCTCTTCTCCTCGGGTACCGGAGGTGAACGCTAATTATCGATTTTCCCACCTAGAAATCGAACCAAATTGTCATAGATGCGGTACGCAACGCTACGGCGTTGTTACAATCGTAGGGCCATGAACTGTATGGGTCCGGAGGGCGAAATTGGTATATGTATCTAAACATTTTACACATATCTTGAATACATTCGTTCTTGGTGCATCCGTTGGATGGAGATGTACAGTTTCATGGCTCCAATAATTATCGACAACTCTCATACCCTCCGCAGTCGTCGGAGGTTCTAACATGTCAACTTTACTCCTTGGACGAGAGCCTAGAGATTCCGATAGACCAGGAACGAAAGCAATTCCCACATGGAAACACTCTGACACGTAATGCGTAGATCTACCACATCAATATACGACTATGCGCGCGCATCCCGCCAGCCGAGAATAACCGGGTATCAAAATCCAGCGTACTACACGTCGAAACTCAACCGAACGGAAAAGCACGTAGATGAGAGAGATCCTGCACATTTAACCCCATCACGGGCAAGCCCTCTCACGGATCAATCTCTCTTCCCAGCACTTCTGGCAAATCGCAATCCCCTTACCAACCCCACCCTTCATCCCAGCAGCAAACTCTCTGCAGACCATACATATCACGAACATAACTCCCTGAATCACAATCTGCGCCCCAGGTCCATACCTCGCCGTCCCGGAACGTGGCATCAGCCCACATTCCACACAGAAGCGCCTCTCCGCATCACGACCGTATCTACCCCGCCCGCGCCGAAGCATCCGATCCGCGAATTTGGCCGCAGGACGGAGACGGAGACAATACCGACAGGTGTAGACATCGCGTGCGAGGGCGAAGTCTGTGAGTTCGGCTTGAAGGAGCTCATGGTGCGAGAGTGGAGGGATTAGGTCATTGAAGTAGGCGCAGGTCAGTTTGAGATGGACTAAGTCTGGGAAGATGAGGAAGTTGGCGATAAGGATGTGGAGTTCGGGTGGCAGGTTCATGAAACACGGGAATGGTTCCGTTGGTGTTTGGGAAGAAGGGACTGTTTCATCCTGCCGAGGCATATTGCTTGGGTGTGAGGGATTTGTTCCATGGGGTATAGACGAGCCTCGTCATGGTGTTTTGCGGAGGCAGTTGGGGATGGTTGTGAGTTGAGGTTGCGAATGGCTGTTGATCTGGATACGAGATTCGCGGCCCGATTTGGTTGGATTAGTCACGCCGGGGGGAACCCTAACCTTCTGATAGCAATCTATAGACCGGTCAACAAGCAAAAAAAGGTAAAGGCTACAATTTGTGAATCAACTAGGAGTATTTGGATGCATTGTAACTAAGTGGCGGTCAGGTGAGCGCAATCTCCTCTATGAGAATTTGTTACATGTGTTCTATGTTAAGTCGTGACATATATAAATGTGTACTGCTAGAGTGTGTACATACGTCGTTCTAGTAGATGTTATTGAAAGTAAAGGTAAAAGCCCCCTGCAACCCCTCCTTCCTCCGTACTTCTACGAATCGATGATCAGGTATCACCCAGTCCGCACCCGCCGCCTTCAACTGGTCGACAGTGTGCGTGGTTGTCACTGCTAAAACAGAACATCCAGCCAATTTCCCTGCTTTTACACCGGCTGGAGCATCCTCGACAACGAGGACGTCCTTTATGTCGTCTTCCCCGCTATGTTGCAGCATCCGAGTGCGAGCTTTATAGTAACCTTCTGGATCAGGCTTGCCGATTCTGACATCCTCTGCGACAGTAACCTCTTGAGGTCGAGGTAAGTGCAGGACATTGAGCCAACCGTTTAGGAGAGCCTTGGTGCCTGATGTTACGATTGCCCAAGGTGTGTAAAGGTTGTTAAGTGCCTCGAGAAGAGCTCGTGCACCCGGGATTTCAATGGCAGGATTCTTGCATAGGGAAGGTATTTTGCTTTCCATGGCGCTTATGTCTAAATGGAATACTCGTTAGGGATTTTGTGAAAAGATAAGAAATGACAACTGTGTAAAGGAGTCTCACATTCCCAGTTTGCTCTGCTAGGATCAAGATTTTTCAGAACATCGATACTTCGTCTACCATGCGAAGTTTGCAGGATCACTTCGTGGTCAATACCGATTTCCTCGCCGATTCTGTTCACGTGTGAGTAAAATCCAAACCTAAGTGAAGGTGTTTCGAGACGGCAAACCTTCTCCAGTTCTCAACAATAGCTAGTGGGTAGATATCAGCATACAGGTGAACAAAAAGCCTATTATAGAGAGATACCTTCGGTGGAATCGATTATTGTTCCGTCGAAATCGAATAGGACACCGGCGAAATCATGCGTGGTCGACGTGGCTGCAACTCCCGGCATGTTGATAGTCATTTGTGTGGTTTCGTGTCTGCAGCTCTTGGGATAGAGTAAAGAAGGAATGTTGAATTATTGGGAGAAACCGACCAGCATGCTCATTGATCCTCAAACCTGCACAACTTATATGGAACTGGTTCGGGGTGGCGAATGGGAGCATGGCGGAAACCTTCCTAATTAGGAAGCATACCCGCCATTGTATACACTCAAAAAATGCCGCACAATCATTGAAAGCATTCTTATCCGAGAAGCCTGTGTTCCGATAGAACCGAAGTTGTTTCGTCTCGAAGATTATAAATACCCCTGGAGCAAAGCCAACATCCTCATTACAACCGCTCAGATCTACTCGATATATGCGTACCCCTACATCCAATTCCTCAAAATTAGTGATCTTTTGCACGATTAAACATGCCTCTTCATACCCCCTCACATTTATCTATTGCTCGTCACGCATTGAAGCCCCTCCGAGTCCATCGGAGCTTTATAAGACAAGCCACATCCAGCGCGGACCCTCGCAAAGAAGGCGATATCTCATCGGTTTTCGTTTCCTTGTCCGGAAAAGAGGAAACACCTCTGCCTCCAAGGTTTGCACACCAAAAGAGAAGACTAATTGCCGGCCGAGAAGACGAAATCGAAAGAAGTTGGCATCGCTCCTGCATACATTGAAGGACGAGGTTCGCTTGATTCACCAGCGTGGCTCTGATATCATTCCCTCGATCGAGTTCAAGGATATCCATGCCGCACCAAAGACGTTCCGCGACGAACTGCGAAAACGAGGGGTTGCCGTCATCCGAGGTGTGGTTCCTGAGCATGAAGCCAGAGCGTACAAGGATGAAATCGAGGATTATGTCAAGGCCAATCCAGGTACAAAAGGTACTGTCTTCTATTACTCTCTAATCGCTGCTTTTCTGACACTTCTCTAGCATTCCCGCCACATGACCCCCAGGTATACGAACTGTACTGGTCACAGCCTCAGATGCGTGCACGTACACACCCAAACATGCTAGAAGCTCAGCGTTTTCTTATGAGCTTTTGGCACTCCAATTCACCAGACGCAATGATATCCCCTACCCACCCTCTGATCTACGCAGATAGACTTCGCATCCGGCAACCAGGAGACGCAGGATTTGCACTAGGCCCTCATGTAGATGGGGGTGGGCCTGAAAGGTGGGAAGATAACGGCTACGGTCGGGGCAATGTTTACCAGAGAATCTGGCAGGGGGGATGGGAAGAATACGACCCCTGGGAAGCCAGTTGCCGAGTTTTAGCAGAGACAGACTTGTACAACGGCGCTGGAGCGTGTTCAATGTTTCGCATGTTTCAAGCATGGTTGGGCATGTCTCATACAGGGCCTAATGAGGGAACATTGCTGGTCAATCCTCTGCTCTCCTTAGCTACGGCTTACTTTTTACTGCGACCTTTTTTCGAGCCAATTTATACACCTCCTAGGGAATGTTCTCGCATGGCGACGGAGACCTTCCTGCACCCAAGTAATTGGCGCTTAGAAAGAAAGACCTCAAGCAACCTTCAGGGTGCAACTCCGGGATTCGCGCAGGAACTTACTACAACGCTTCATCCTCATTTGGAACTCGACAAAACAATGGTACACGTTCCTAAAATCGCTCCTGGTGATTATGTGGCTTGGCACTGTGACAGTAAGTATCCAGTCTACCCGCCCGTCATAGAGAAACAATCTAACTAGACTAGCCATCCATGCCGTTGACCGGGTACACAATGGCAGCGGCGATTCAAGCGTTCTGTACATCCCAGCATGCCCCGTTACTGAGGCCAACGCCAATTATGTTAAACGCCAGAGGAACGACTTCCGTGAGGGTGTTCCTCCGCCAGACTTCCCGGGAGGCAAGGGCGAAAGCGAACACGTTGGACGCGCTACAGAGACTTGCCTGCGCAAGTCCACGAGTTCGCTTGGCTTGCGCTCCTTGGGGCTTGACAAATGGGATTTGGACGATCAGTCGCTGAAAAAGGGACAACGACTTGTCTTGGATAGGTCAAACCAGATCCTAGGATTCTAAGATTGGCGTCTTCTCTTTCATTTGCTAACTCTGTGTACATATACGTATCTAGTCCTAGTGCAACTTTAGAAAGCCTTCCTCCTTTCTCAATCCCTCCCTTCAGGCTCTCTCTCACATTTCTCCCTTTTCTTTTTCCCGTGGGTAAGCCAAGTACTACCCTCAATAGTCAATGACGCCTTGTGTGGTCCACCTCAACCCGTTCAACTGAGGAATACGAAAGCACCATCCAAACTGAAAAATAAGTCCTAGTCAAACCAGAAGCAGGAAGCCAACGTCAGGATGCTTGCTGTTATCCTGTATATACAGATGTCGAAAGGAAAAAAATGTATATCAAGTGCACCTTTAGCTAACATGCGTTTACGGAGGTCAACTGTAGCGGTGTTCTAAGACCTCTTATGGAAATAACATGATTATCGCCAGTAGCATTCGGTGTTATACCATTATATACGACCAAGACTGACGGTCCATGATATTATAGCATATGTGAGTAAGGCAAGCGAATAAAGAACATAAGAGAATAAGAGAAATCCCGGAAAGCCGGTCCACGCAGGTTTACGCCCACTTCCCGATGAGAGCCATAATGCCAGCACCCAGCAGAGTACAAAAGACCATAAACAACAGCTGGCTCCGACGCTTAGTGCGATCCGGGTCAAATAAAAAGTCACGAGCCAACAATTCCACGAGTCCACTATAGATGAGGACGCCAGCAGAGATAGCATTCAACACGCCCTGCACTATCAGTGCTACCTTAGAGCCAGGGTTATATGTGGTACGAACGCCGAGACCGATGGCGATGGATATTGGCGTAGTGAGCCCATACATCGCACATAGGATCCAGGGCAGCCAGGTATGTTTGTCAAAGGGGATAGCCGACATTCTCGCTCCGATACCAAGACCCTCGAAGGATTGGTGAAACACCAGAACTGGGTAAAGAGTTGCAAATTCAGAGCCTGTGACGCCGAGATTCAATCCGATAATGACGGAGTGGAATATGATACCAAATTCAAGGATGAGGAATGCTGCAATCTGTTGCTTGAAAGATCGCTCTGCCGCTGCTGTTTCATTGTCTGAGGTCCAGGTGGTAGCTGTCTGCACCGGCGGGATGGATTTCTCCTGATCGTATGAGCTGTGGACTGCGTGGCACCTTGGTGTCCCCCTTGAATGAATGCCCCTGTGGCATCTTCGTCCTTGTGCACGCCGTACTTGCGCTCGACATAGACTTCAGCTGCCAGGTCCATGAGGAAGATAATCATGACTGAGCCTAGCACGATTGCCGCACACCATGAATATTCGCCCCAGTAGCCTGACTCTCCGACGCAAGTCTTGGGTCCGATTCGCTTATATGCTGGGTCTAGAAGATGGATGAAAGCTGTTGCGACAATAACACCGGTACCGAAATAACGGGCGAACAGGTAGACACCGTAGGGGATTTTCCAGGACGGCAAGCTTTTGGCTACGACGGGAAAGAAGGTAAAGGCGGAGGAGACGAATAGAATCACAAAGATTGAAGAAATGCGTGCACCGAGGTGCCCATTATACTCATTCTCGGACAGGGCAAGGAAGCACAGTACATCTTCTTTGCTCGCCGTGTTCAGGTCAACCTGGGAGGCGTTAAAGGCAGACATGGCGCACTGCCGGGAGGTGAAGATGGTATGAAAGGTTTGATGATAGATCTGCTGTAGCCGGATCGGAGCATAGTAGGCAACGGACTTCTGTGATATAGCATTGGGATCGAGTACCTTGTGAGTAGTGTTGGATGGCTTGAAATCGCTGTTCATTACCGCTGGCTGCAATGAAAAGGATAGTCGGAAACCTGTTGGCTGGACTAAGTGTATTATCCGGGTCGTTGAATAATTTACAAAAGTCACTAAGCTTTAGCGCTCCTTGGAGTGGACAACCAAATGAAAGTGTGGAGCTACAGCGTCTCTCATCGTCCAATGCATTCATGCTAATTATATTTACATGGCTTGCTATGCGGATAGACGAGCAAGGGCACGCCTCGACGATATAGTCAAGTGGCCACGCTGTCGGATATACTGCTCGTATATGAGCAAGATTAACATTATTACTATTGCTCTCCCTGATATCACGGACTACCGTGTGATAACATCTTCGAGTCTAAGCACCTCGGGTAATATTCTCGCGATACAGCAGAAGGCTTAGTTCTACTAAGATACTCAACGGCTCATCCCTGTTGTCCATTGCCGAGCCCCACTCCGACAGCGCTATGCAGCCCCATAGGGCTGAACTTGACCTCCCAAGATTGGTTTCACATTGAACATACGTCCACATTTACTTTTCTGGCAAAGAAAAGGAAAAAGCTTGGATGCATCATCCGACCTTGATTGGAAAGAATAACCAGCAGTAACTCCTGGACAAACATGTTCCATAGTTCTCTTTCACAAAACTCCTAAAGTACATGCCAGTACAGGCAGAAAACATCGGCACCTTCCGAAAGTAAACCGGATATTAGATGCTGAATACGCACTAGGTCACCTACAAGGTCCTCAATCAGTGGACCCTCCCGCGTCTTGACTTTTGCTTGTTTCTCTAAGTTTATCCTGTTGCCTGATCCTCTCTCGCGGCCGTGGCGAAGCCTGCATATGACGTTAAGTTTTCAAGACAAACGCTTGATAACAGAAAGCTTTAAACTTGAAGAACAAAGGCGTCCATGTAGCACTTCAGCTTAATGCCACTGCTGGGCGCACTCGCAAGACGTAAAGATAATAGAAACGCTGGAGTGTTCGTCCAACAGTACGTTAAGGGTTTCGCCTTGTAGGGCTGACGGATGCGAGCTCTCTGCTGCAAAACTGGGTAAAGTGCGCCATAAATAGCAAATCAAGTTTTTCAAATACAAGAGACCAGGTAATTTGTAGCTTACCGTGGATGCACTGACGTGGTTTCGCGGGACCTCGGAATAAATAGCGACTTCAGCATTGCCCAGCAGGCAACCACAATTTGTCCCTCGGCTTATTTATTCCATTGCTCGACAAATGCTTACTCTATCTTGCATTGCTGTAGTATCATCCCAATCAAATGCCTTCTGACCCCTCGCCAATACTATTTCCACCGAATTCCATCTGCAAGGACGCTAGTCTCTAGATGACATCCCGAGGACAGCTAGGCCCTCCATTTGGGTAGAAAGCGCTCTATAATAACGCTCGCACTGGCAGCATACCATCTTGCACTTCAATCCGCTTGTCTCAATCCGCTTATTTCTACCCGTCTCCTAATATGCGACTCTATTTTCTATAGTTCTAGAACTGACTTGGTTGATCCTCAAGCCTCAATCGCGAGTCAACATGTTTACCACGATTTGGTAAGACGACGACCCACTGGTGTACCCGAGGCATTACCCACTAACCAGGTAGGCGAATCGTTTCTGCAACCCTACAATTCCTCTGGCTTGTACTTTTATGCCCGTTAGTTATAGTTGTCGCTACAGGGGCCGCCGTATCTATTTATCGAGCTGGTCTCCCCCTCTGGAAAGACGTTCCTGCGGGTTTCTACGAACTGTATGTATGTCTTTTCGATCTTTGCTAACCGTAGCTGATTTCATAAGGTTATGTCGTTTATCGCGTAGCGACTTCTTCCCTGATTCATTCTAGTTTTTTATCATTACTTATGGAAAGCATGGGGTTTTGTAGGGTTTAGCCTTGAGTGATATCTTTATGGGTTCGTGAGTGGTTGTTTTTGACTATTAATTTATCGCCACTGTTTTTACTTCAGTTATTGAAGAATCAATGCAGAGTACGTAGTCCATAATACACCTTAAGTGGATAGAGAAGTTGGTAGTGCGTTATACTTTCCACAGGTGTATCAATTGTTAATAGAAGATATAGGCTAACTGCTCGCTTGATATTCAGATGCGCGAAAAAACATAAATATTAATGGTGACACCGATGTATTATATCCGGCCTTGAACTTCTCTGGTTGTCTAAGGCATCTTCGTACGGCAACCATTGGAGAGCAAGTCCATCGACCCTTGGATGTCTTTCCAAATGGGACGAAATGCTTATCTTGATACTTGGTCGTTTTCCACTGGAAACGAATACATATATTAGCAACGCAACCCAATGTCTGACTGTTTCACATGACTCACATCAGCCTCGTTCTTAGTACAGCTAATACCTCAGTAGTGTTTTCTATATATCCACAATGTATTAGGCCTAGTCCGCAGAGGGTTCAACTTCAATCCTACTTGACAATTCAATATGACATGAATGCAAGATTCACTCTGTGGCAAGGTGAGTCCACCGGTACGGCTTTGCCCATAGTTCCATACAAACGTGTTTGGAGTGATGAATGACGAAAAAATAAAACAAGATTTCAATAGATTTATACAAGCCTATGTGTCCAATCTAGATGACCTATATTTTAATGCGCTGAACGTATAAGAACGCATTATCGACTGAGACAACATTCCCATTCCTGTGGTATTAACGGAGTCAATTATTTCTAACACATCTCAGACTCTGGATATGTTCTTGTCCCATCATGTGTCCTAGTAGCCATATGTTCTACACTCACTCTTACTCAGTTCAAATCGAGTGGACCACCTTGCGAGCGTGGAAGTGTACTGATGTCTACTAACATTTGTGGGAACAGTACTTACGGGACTCGGAACACAAGATCATTGCCGACCCAGAGTATTGGTGAACTGCCACGATGTATCTACAAATCTGCGAGATGGACATGACATCACGTCCGCGATATGACCCTCTCAAGTCTCAATGCGGGCGAAAGATTTGACTAGCTGAATGTAAATAGGTTCTAGAAAAACTACGTCTCCCTCTGGTATGGACCCACATACCGTTACTTTCCGATACATATCTTACCCATATTCACCGCACCAGAACACAGCGTAGATTTGCTTCCGTTACGAAGCGATACGTACATAGTCTCTTCCTGATGAGGAAATAGAGGAACGTCGGCAAGTGAACAACAAGCTACTCGATTGTCAAGGTCGTACGGATATGAGTCCTGCTGACGGGAATCAGCATTCTGTGTGCAGCTATTGTGCCGGTTAACCGGGATGCTGAATGTATATAAGAGCCACTATGTTCTATGGGAAGAGCAGACAAGTCATCTGGACTAAAAGAGACACAGACCACACTGGCTGATACTTATATACATCTTCTTGTTCATTTTTATTGAGAATCAGAATGACTGCAACTATCAAAACGGATGTTCTGATTGTCGGTGGTGGACCCGTGGGCCTGCTGGTAGCCTACGGTCTTGCCAGGCAGGGCGTGGATACCGTGCTTGTTGGTAAGTTATGGTTTATTCCTCGTTACTATGTAGCTGCTGACGTATTGGTATAGAGAAGCATGACAAAGAACAGCAAGCTATGTACGGCAGAGCGACAACCCTATACCCTCGAACACTGGAAATGCTTGACCAGCTCGAGCTCCTGGATGAGTTGAACCAAATCGGGTATATCGGCCGTAATAGTGTCACGTACAAAGATGGCAAGCGGGTGACATCACGAGGCTGGCATGTGATGTTCCAGCGGATGAGTGGCACGTTTCTGGACTACTGCTTGAATATCCGGCAGAAGTACTCCGAGAATGTGATTCGAGACGCCTATCTGAAGATGGGAGGTCGCGCGTATATTGGCTGGGCACTAGAAGACTACACCGTTGATAGCCAGACGGAGAGTGACTATAAAGTGACCTCAAAGATTTGCCAGGCTGATACTGGCAAAGATTTGACGGTGTGCAGGTGAGTCTGGCCTGCTTTTCAATGTTAGCCTGGTGCTCTCTGACGTTTTATAGCAAATTTATTGTTGGGGCGGATGGTGGGCACTCACTTGTTAGGCGCTTATCAGGCATCCCATTTGAGGGCGATCGCACGGACTTCAAGTGGGTTCGGATTGATGGGCAGTTTAAGACCAACATGCCGGATGCGGATCTTGGTTTTGCGTCCATTGAGTCGAAGAGCCATGGAAACGTTCTTTGGGTCCAATTAGACCATGGCGTGAAACGCATAGGCTTCGCAATGACTGATGATATGCTAGCGAAATATGGCAATTCGCTTACTGAGGAGCAAGCTAAGGAAGAAGCTGTCAAGTCGATGGAGCCATTCTCATTGGAGATCGAGAAGGTGGACTGGTGGACGTTATACAGGTAAGCGACGCGAGTATCCCTATTATCCTCCAGGGTTCTCACTGGGAGTTCCATGACAGCATCAACCAACGAGTTGCGGATACCTTCTTTGCCGACGATCGTATCTTGCTGGCAGGCGACGCATGTCATACACATTCTTCTGGTGCCGCACAAGGCATGAATACCGGCGTCCATGACGCAGTTAATCTGGCCTGGAAATTGGGAGGTGTGGTAAAAGGCTGGTATAGTACCGACATCCTCCGAACCTATGACAACGAGCGGCGTCCGGCCGCGCAGCATCTCATTGAGCTGGACAAAGCATTCTCGGCAACCATTTCAGGACAAATTCCAGAGATTCACAAGGGTCTATATGCCGACGCGAATGAGTTATTTACCAAGCTCTTTGACGAGTCAATCCAGTTTAACATCGGACTCGGGATTCACTATGATGAGAGCATCATTAACAAGACCCCGTCCACCGGGATGGTTTCTGCTGGCTGGAGAGCACCAGATGCTTTGGTTCATGCTCCCGGTTCCCGTATTCCGGTTCGGCTTTTCCAACTTATCAGAAACACTGGACCGTGGTCCGTTCTCATATTCGCCGGACAACCTACCCTCACTCGGAAGACATTGGCTTTATCAATGAAGAAGCTGGCTGTATCACTTGACAAGCTCCCTAAAGGGATGGTCCGGTGCTTTACGCTGATTGCTAATAGTGTCACTGAAGGTGACCAGGTCTTTGCAACCCCAAGGCTTGGTCGTTCATATTATGATTCTGACCGATCAGCCCATGCTGCATATACCATTTCCACCAACAGTGGTGGGGTAGCGGTCCTTAGACCGGATGGCATTCTTGGACACGCCACAGCTCTGGAAGATATTGAGACCGTTGAAGCTTTCTTTAACGGCTTCGTTTCCAGGTAGTAGCAAAGGGATGCGGAGACTCTAGTGTACTCCCAATGCTTCCTAACCTCCTTTCGCTCTTCATAATCTTCTTCTCGAGCGGGAGGTATGAAAAGAGACATATCGTTGCCACAGGCTCGTGGTGCATGGAAGATAGGAATAGCCAAGGATAGGACTAGAATTGTAGACTGAACCAGAATGGATCGAAAAATGTATCATCATTGAAATCCAGGTCGCGAAAGAGGTCATCTGTAAACGGTAGATCATCTGTTCCCTCCGATGGTAGATCATTTGCTCTGCCATTATCCAGCTGTTCGAGGGTGGGAGACTGATTAGGAGATGACTGTTCCTGTGGGAATATATTGGTACTCGACTTTTCAACGTGCGGAAACGTAATTGAGCATCGCTCTTTGATCGTGCATAAGTTCTCGGCACAGCGTTCTGCTGTGCTGCTGTATAGCCTCAGCTTGTCCAACGAAGACTGGCACTTCTGCCACGATTGTTCTAGAGCTTCCCAGGTTACACTGTCCACGAGCGATTGAGAGAGCCCCGCTAGAATAATAACAGATCCCGCAGTAAATGCATCTATGGAGGAAAGGCCTGTCAGTAATGGCGTGTTATGAAGGTCCGGTATTGCATGCAAAGACTCACAAAAGACGTTATAACACCAAACGCTGGAAAGATCAGTGTTGCAAGTCTGATGTACTATTGAGATAAGATTAATGGCCGCATTGACACAGTATATGGAACAGTCAAGGTTAACTCTGGAGTGGATTCCAGAGTTATGGATGGAGTCATTGCTTTCAATACACAGAATTGTGCTACTGTTTCGAAGAGTCTGAGAGAGGATAGGCCGGTATAGGAGAATTTTCAAATATGAATATCTGGTATCATGAATTAGAAATATGCCTCAATCACAGGCTGTCATATCTGCATACCTTGCTCGCAGCAAACACTTTTCTCTTCGGAAATTGTCTGGACCATCACGTAAGACTTCATGGTCCCACATGAGTGCTTCTGGTAGATTGGCCTTGAATTCCTCGAGGTCTGCATCAATCTGTATAATGCTCTGAATCTGCCAAGTGTTTCCAGCCGGCATATGGCTACCCTCGCTCCCCGCTTCCGTTGACCCTGCGTTATTATACAATGATTTCAGAATCTTGCGCAGCGTGTCGTACAGCTTCAATGTCTCAATGAACCATACAACACGCGATAGCACACGGGGAGGTTGTTTACAAGTTTGTGCATCCACTGATAGATAGCAATCGTCAATAGCCTCAGGAAGAGGCGTCACTGGCTTTTGGGCAATCATTGACGGTCGTCCAAGTATTGTGCTGACGGCTCTATATGGTCGACCAGGCTGTGAGTTAGCGAATGTATCTGAAAAATCAAAGGGGAGATATCATACAGGTCAAGCATTACACAACCATGCCATACCCTTCGCCTAAGTTGGATTTCGGCAAATGATCGACGTTCATTGCCGAGGTCAGAGTGCAACCCCAGCGCTTGAGCTAGCCGACATGCCATGCCTATAACATGCCAGCAACGATTGGGTGTTCGTGAGCATTGTAAGTAATGCGTGATGAGCAGGAGAGTTTGGCACACAGCTAGATCTCCCCCTTCCAGATATTCCACGTCTAACGCCGGCTTGCAACGACGATAAAAAGCTTCCGACGTAGTTTCTCGTTGTGTCCGCACTACGTTGGAGAACTGACATCCTAGCGCAAATATGGCATTCAATGCACAGTAGAAAGTGGTTCGATTGACAGCTATGTCTCCTATCCCCAGACCAGGAGCTGCGTTTGTGCTTCGACCCATCTCCGCAGGCACCCACAGTGACCGGTATGCACTGAAGAAAGCGTCCTTATGCACAAAAGGATAAAGTGTATGTACCTTAGAAAAATAACAGTCGACCAGATGGTCGGCCAGTGGGCGTGGGGGGAGCAGCTCCATTGATGGCTTAGGTTCAGCTGAGAGCTTGTGGACCCGATGATGATTCTGCGGGTCGACTGAGCGACAAGGCTCCTCGTGACCAGAGCCTGGCGCGGTGATAGTTGCTGGAAGGGAATGCTGCAACTCCTGGATAAAGGCCACTGTCGACGAGTCGCCGAAAAACTCTCTAGATGAGTTTTGCTCCCTGTCCAGTGGACCGACAGTTAAGCCCATGGCCGTCACGTCGGCATCATCCCGTTCATATGTCGTGTCTCTGGTTGCAACAGACGAAGCGGAAGAAGTGGACTCATGACAGAGTGGCCCATAATTCAGTTGAGAGGGCGATATCAGTAACAGATCGTCTCGTATACCGGGGCTGGCGTCATCTCTATCGCAGTGTCAGTGTTCCGATCCTGTTGAAGGAAGAATAGACGCACCTGAGTGGCCGCGGATCGTCATCTTGAAATATACAGCGATCCCGGCGTCGTTGGCAAGTACCGCATCGGGGTCGGACTCCGTCACAGCGTATCTTCAGTGATCGACAGGTATTACACGCGACGCCGACTCTCTTCCTCTTAAGTCTACGCGGAGGATTTGTCGGGGCGGTAATTAGCATCGTCTTGATATAGTGTGACTGATGAGGGGCAGGCGACGAGACCAAAGAGCAGTCCTATCGCCGTGGAGGTCCAAGTCATTTTCCTCTCATGTTGGGGTGGACAAACAAGAAGAAGTTCAGCAAGTCGATGGAAGACGAAGTGGGACTGGCCCATGATTGGTTGATGTTCCTTCCATCGCCTCCCGGTCGAAAGTCAGCTTATTCCGATTCCGTATCAAAACAACACAAATACAGAACAACCACATTAGTTTCATACGGATCTTGAAGAGCGCATCCGAAGAGATATAGTGACATGGCAAATGCTTCAATCTTTGATGCAGCCTGACTCTGGTCACCGGTGCAAGGGACTTGACGTTCGAATGACACATGTCTCGGCTTCTATGTCTCTCATACAGCTTGAGAGATAGTATCGAACTAGAGCGAAAAGAAAAAAAGAAAAAACAGAGAGATTCATAAAATCAGGACGAAACCAACGTCTCTTCATACAGCCAAATACAAAGCACAAGAACGGATCCTTAACAGCAGCTGTGCACATTCTACCTGGTATCGGCCTTAATTTCCGACTCCGTAAGACCGACCCACCGTGACTATCGTTATCGCCGAAGAGCGTCTTGGAAGTTGGCTTCGCTTGCGCACGCTGGTCCATCTTTGACTCTTGGCGAAATGCGCGACAACTTCAGGTGTGTCAAGGTATCTTGTGAGCAGTCCTCAATTCCCTGTCACTCAATTGACTAGGAAGCTCTCAGGTGATAGCCCAAGCTCTGTAATGGGCAGCATGTCACGATCCTTCCCAGCAGAGCAGAATATAAATACAGCACTACTACTTCACAGCTAGATCGACAGGGGCCGAGATACGATGATCCCCATTCAAGTTGCGTAAGAATACGCTCTTACTCCACTTTCTTCTTCAGGAAAGAAACGGCGAGAAAGTTATCTGATCTTACGATTCTGGCATAGGCTATGTCCTTTCCCCGAGAGCCAGGTGAAATCGCCCGCAATCATATCAAGTTGACGTTGTCCCTTCGGAGAATCACCCAGCCTGAATGTTGATGGTCGGACATAATGGTCAAAAGCTTCCTTGGAATGTGGACATGGTCTTGGATAAATCGCCAATGCCTGACGCGTCCTGGCGTGGACTTGGGGCTCCGGTTATATTGTCTGTTAGGCATCTAAATAAGTATAGCCAGTGTGATGTGATGTCGAAGTATATATATCTCTAAAGATCTCGTTCACTTTTGTCCTTGTTGGCATCCATCTTCACCTCCTTGCCTGCAACATATTCCGGGATGGCTCCGTATCTGTCGAAGAGCCTAGCCTCCCTGGCTGTGAGCGCTGCGATTGCCCAAGCTCAGCTCTGGGGTCAAACCATCCAGACGAATTACGGTCCCGTCCAAGGTTTCAAATATTTCAACGAGTCTACCCTCGAGAAATACTTTGGTATCTCCGAGTCCAACGTGACCGCCTTCTTGGGTATCCCATTCGCCGCGGACACTGGGTATCAAAACCGCTGGAAGCCGCCACAGCCACGTGAGCCCTGGAATGAAACCCTGAGAGCGACGGACTTTGGTCCTGCCTGTCCTAGCAACTACGCATCGAATATCAGTGAAGACTGTCTCAATCTGAACCTCTGGACCAACGCCGGCTCTGCGGATGCCAAACTCCCTGTTATGGTCTGGAACCAGGGGTCCGACGAGACCAGCAATGATGCCTGGTGGTACGGCGGTGGAATGGCCTTGAAGGATGTCATTCTCATCACTTTCAACCGTCGCGACGATGCATTTGGTTACCTTGCTCATCCGGAGCTCAATGCTGAAGGTTTCCAGCGCACCGGTCACAACACGTCCGGAAACTACGGTGTCCTTGACCAGCTCGAGGTCCTCAAATGGGTCCAGAAAAACATTGCCAAGTTTGGTGGTGACCCGGACCGTGTGGTCGTCGCTGGCCAGTCTTTCGGCTCGTCCCAGGTCTATCATGCCGTCAACAGCCCGTTGTTCAAGGGGTATTTCCATGGCGGTATCTCTGAGTCTGGCATCAGATATCCATACGATCCTATGCTGGCCGGCCTCGCGACCTCTTATGTCAACATGTCTGCTGCCATCACGCACGGTGTCAACTACACTACTTTCCACAACGTCTCCAGCATCAAGGAACTGCGCACGCTCTCCATGGAGGAGCTTCTGATCGGCTCCCAGGATCGCGTCAACGAGACATGGATCGACCCGATCACTGCGCTGTCTGCTGGCTATCCGCTCATTTTCAAGCCTGTCCTAGACGATTACGTTCTTCCCTCCACATACCTAGAGACGCTCATCAACGGCCCCGCCAACGACGTACCTGTCATAACAGGCAACACCAAGGATGAATCCGGAGCCTCACCAAGCACAGACTACACTGTCGAGGAATACGAGACCTACTCCTCTCTCAAGTACGGTAATCTATCGAGCCGTTATTTCCAGCTGTACCCAGACCACGGCAACGCAAGCACTGCAGACAGGGCCTGGAACGCGGCTGCCCGCGATACTTCCCTTATTGGCTCCTGGGCCTACGCCACCGACTGGTACAAGGCCGCCTCCTCCTCGTTCTACACCTACTACTGGACCCATGCCCCACCAGGCCAAGACCAGGGTGCCTTCCACCAATCTGAGATCATGTACGCACTGAATGCTCTCTACGCCAACGCGGATAGGTACCCGTTCACGGAGCAGGACTATGCCATCCAGGAAAAGATGTCCGCCTACTGGGCAAACTTCGCAAAGACACTCGATCCCAACAAGGGCGGATCTTACACTGGTAGCGGCTCGCTGCCCCGCTGGAGCCCGAACAGTGCTAATGGCACCCAGCTTGTCATGGAGCTCGGCAATGCGTTTGGAAACGTCCCCATTGCCAAGAAGGCGCAGGTGGAGCTCATTATGGAGTGGTTCCATCAGCAGACTCCGTACTGATTTCGGCAATCAATCACTCCTCACGACGGGGCGCCTGGTCAGCCTACTGTAAGGAGACATCATCCTGCTACCGATGCCCTGTGCGGAGGCCATCAGATAATGTATTCCTACATTTCCCTTTTGGATTCTTTTTCTTCACTAGTCTATTTCTGCCACCGTTTCTGCCACTCCTTTGAATTGTTTAATGTACATATATACAGAAGCTTCCCATTCTCTGTTCCCAAATATCAGACACAACAAATATCTAACACTGCTCCCCTTCCAACTTCACACCGTAATTCTACCCTTTAATATAAAATTCAAACTCCCCTATAGGGCTGCCGACAAGTGGGCCCAACCCAGCCTCCGGTGTCAACTGCCCAATACAGACTAGCGCCCTACGTATAGCCCTCGGGGATACCAAAATCCTTCATCAAAACCCTTCCTAGTGTGACTGCCGATCACTAGGTGGGAACCTTCCTTCAGTGTGTGGTACCTGCTATTTAGCTTGGGATTTATTCATATTTTAGTTTATTGTGGGGGTGAGGGAGATTTTTCCCTGGGTTGGGTTGGGTTTGTGGAGGGATGATTACTAGTTGGACGGATTTCATACCCAAATACTAACAACAAAGTAACCTGACGCTATCACATATCGCCGCTGCGTCGATTATCTGGGAACCATTCAAGACCTTTTCAAGAGCACTTGCTGTCTTAAAGCTCGACTGCCACTTTGAGCTGTCATACATAGCTCCTAGTAAATGTTATTCTGAAATGCGTACGCCGGCTTACGGCGCTTCCAAGAACCTTTCACCAGCGTCCATCAACAGCCGTATTACTGTCTTGTTGGTGACCATCGAAAGCAGCGTCTTAGACAACTGACACTTTGGGTTAAAGCTCACGCCCCCTTGCTCAAGTAAGAGGCGCACCACAGCCACGTGCCCCTTGCGGGCCGCCACTGATAACGGCGTTTCCTGGTAGTATGTGGGTTGATTGGGGTCCACATCGGCGTGCGCTAGTAGCATTAACACAGCGTCATAGTGGCCGTTCTCTGCGGCGACATAGATAGGCGTCTCTCCGATACAGTTGGAAACACCTGGATGAGCACCCTTTACTAACAGCTCTATCAGAACCTCCGGATGGCCTCCACGAGCCGCCATTAGGAAAACCGTCGTCCCGTCATCTGCCCGGTGATGCACGTCAACATTGCGGTGTTGAAGAAGCATAAGTGCAGCTCTTGCTTGTGCGTGCCACGCTGCAAGTCCAAGGGCAGTGCGTCCAAGCTTGTTCTGTGCGTTGATGTTCACTGTGCCTTCTTTTAGCAAGACTGACATGAGGTCAAGATCACCGCGCGCGGCCGCGATCATCAACGGCGTTGCTAGGTACTCGTCGCAGCAGCAGTCTGGGTTTGCTTTGTATCTCTGGATAAGCGCAATAGCGAGCTTGGACTGGCCGCACTCAGTAGCTATGTATACTGGCGTCTTCCCTTTGTTGTTATAGGGCTGACTAGGATCGATGTTCTTGTTGTCAAGCAACAGTTGTATTATTCCTTCGCTTTTGGAGCTAATAGCGTGACATAAGGGCGTTTGCCAGGCCGCGTCCAGGGAATTTACGTTCACAGCTTCTCGGCACAGTATACTTTCCACAAAAGTTAGATTTCCGTGTTTACATGCAACATGCAGTGGTGTCATGCCGTTAAGATTGCTGTTGCTGACAGACGTCCTTTTATCGTCTAATAGAAGGCGGAATAGGAGCAAGTTTCCGCCCTCTATTGCGAGTATCAGCGGGGTTCGCCCTTTGCTATCTTCGAGGTTTGGGTTCGTCTCATTCCGCAGCAGCAGCAATCTGGCCAGATCCTCACGGCCCTGGTCTACTGCATGATGTAGGGCGGTCCTGAACTCCTCGTCCTGGAAATTTGGATTGATTACCTGTGAGTCCAAGGCCAGTTTGACCATATCAGTAAGGCCACGAGACGCCGCCCATGGCAAGAAACGCTCTACATGGCGGGCTCTGTCCTTCGTAAGCAACAGCTCAACTATCTCTGTATGGCCGTTGAGCGCAGCCATGACGATGGGAGGTTCCCTATCTCCGTGTCCCCCGATTTCAACATCGCTACGACGGAAGAGCATTCGGACGATATTCGTGTTCCCATTCCTGGCTGCGATTTGGAGTGGGGTTAGCTTGCTACTTCGTATTCCCGGGTAGGCTGCTTTGATCTTGTCGCTGCTTAGTAGCACAGAAACAACGTCTTCGTGGTTGTGCTCCACCGCAACGCTTAAAGGGGTATCGTTGAAGTCATCATCCAGGTTAGGTCTCATCTCCCCACCGTCGAGGAGTATTTTAGCAACACTGGCTCTTCCACTTCTAGCTGCATAGAATAATGGAGTCCGTAAATGAGGACCCAACTGTCTTGAACCTTTCTGCCATTCCACACACAGCCGCACAATATCGTCATGTCCCGCTGCAGCCGCTGCTCCCAAAGGGCTACCATAAGGTCCATAGCCGAAGGAGCTTGGAGATGTTTGTTTCTGTATGTGGTTTTCAATAAGACGTCGTGCCACATTCTTCGACCCCCGATAGGCTGCGAGCTGTAGGGCATCGCCATAAGCACCGTCCATTTTCCAATCGCCCGCACTCTGGTCCAGGAGGAGCTCCGTCAGAAGCTCATCATCATTGAACGCAGCAGCATATATAGCACTGCCCAGGAACCCGTGACTCTTATCAGCCGGTACACCGCTTTCAAGAAGCCCCCTTACAACATTCCTCAACCCGATCCAGGCCCCTAACACCATGATAGCGAGGTCATCCCAACTATCACTCCAATGCATGACACTTCTCAAGTTTTCTGCAACCCAGCCGCGGCCCTTGTATGAAACCAGGGCAGCACTTATAGCTTGCATGCAGTCTTCCGCGCAGCATTTTACAGCAAACTGCGACCGCAAGCGGGATACGATCCGGGTGATGTGCTCGTGGCTGGAGACATCATGCGCGATTTGCTCATATAGAAGTCGTGACCAGAGCCGGTCATTCATAGTCTGAGTATATTGTCCAGTATAGACTAGGTTGCCTATGACGACCTGATCCATATATCCTAGATATAGTGTTCATTCATTGGTGAGTATGATTAGTAGCAGCGGTCAGGCAGCGTGAGGCTTACGGCAGACACATCTTAAATTCAATATGTCCTGCACATCGAGTGACCGTAGTATCGTCACAACCGTCTCAGCGCTGAGATCCTGGAGTCCCATGATGTCCACCTCTCAAACCTCCTGAGAAAAATTGTGTGTCCGTATGAGTTGGGCAGAATTGTGACCTGTCCATTGCTGCATATATAGCGGCATGCCAACTCATCAAACAGGCCAAGAGGGGGCGTTTGCTTGCGCTTGGGCTCAAGCTGCAGACCTATCATTGCTTTTCTGCAGGATTGTTCTTTTCTTATCAACGTGAATCCCTTTCCTTAACCTTTTCATGGGGATTCTGCCTTTAGGCTATTTGCTTCACCACCATTTCTATTGTAGGTCATGATGTAACGTTCTACTATTTCTTTCCTTCCAGAAAAGTATTCACTGCATGGATATCGTAATTTGATTTCAAACACCGAATAGGGCGGAGGCTCATAGCTTTTGTTCTACTTAAGTTCATTATCGTACCCATGTCGAAATGTTTTGTAAAAGATGTTCTCAAATACCTGCCTTCTGCGTGCACTGCACATCGCTTCCGTAAACTCCCAGTACTCGGGCATATGGTTGGCACAGTCCCCGTCGATAATTCCATTCAACCTTCTACAGTCAACAGATAAATTTAAGGAATACCAGTCTGAGTGCGTATGATATGGCTGATGATCGAGATGAATGTTGTGACTCGGAAATATGTTCGCTACTGTGTTGCTGAGATGACTAGTCAGGTAAGCATTATATTCAGACTCCGAGTTGAACGGGCCCACAATCCATCAGCAATGCGATGATTGAGATATATGCCGCCAATTGCGTTGCCGAATATGAATGGGGTGTTATTTGGAATCTTTCGTAACCGCACGATGCTAGCCTTTAGATCGTCGGCAAACTAGCCCCGCTCATGTATAGCATCAGAAGCAAACATCCGCAAAGAGCTGTTCATGTAGAGGTACGTTTTGCCTTGGTGTTTGACAACATCCACTACACCTGGATGCTCAGTCGGTCTTCGCGCGGTGGCTTCATTTCGAGAGGTGGGATCACTCTCCATGACGACCAACCCAAAGGGGATTGTTGAATCCATTGTGCTCACAGTGTACCGTAGAGCATTTTCCCAAGCCATATAAGCAATACATAAAATCGCACATAGAACCAAGGTGGAACAAGGAACCATATCCAATGATCGATCGTTCGAATTACCAGGCGAAATTCCGGGACATCTCTATCTGGCTTGACCGGCCACTACCAATTTTATCCTCAATGGAAAAAAGATGCAGTGTGGCTGTTAATCGACGATAGTCTTCCAAAACGAAGTGATTTGGGTAAGTCAACGGCTTGGTGAATCTAAAGAGGTGTAATATTCCCTAGATTTCTCTCCCGTCTCCGGTATACCTTTCCATAACGAGTACTGCAATTATCGTCGGTTCAAGCTCGTCCCGAGTGTATACAGGCATAGACGCACCTGGAATTTGTGATTCCGCTTGCTTTCCGTAGCTCGATATGAAACGGTGCTGTAATAATTGTGACCTTGTCGCATCGACGTGCCCTTTGCGAAAGGCTTTGTGGAAATTCGGAGATAGGAGCCATACATTTTGCAGAGATATACCTACATACTCGGTCACAAGGACTTCTCGTAGATGCGGAAGGTATTGAGGGGGTAGAAATGCCTAGATGGCCATAAAGCTGTGAGCATGTAGTCACCTCCAGATTACGGTCATTCATGACAGCTTACCTCAGTACCTGCAAGCTCACGAAGCATGGATGGCGGGGAGATATATACAACCTCCACTGCTGAGATTGATCCGTGATCGCATCCCATCATCAAAGAGCAACAACTGCTATCTCACTGGTGGAATAGGTGGTCAAGATGCTGCAGAAGTAGCTCAAGGCATGTTACTTCCATACATGAATTGAACACAGAGCACCCCTAAACGCCTACCGTTCCACTAGCCTCCACTCCCTCTTTATCTCCACATCCTGCTGGACACCCGTTCTCCTTGAGATGAAATATCGTGCAGCGATCTCGGAGTCAACGGCAGCTGCGACAAAGTGGTTCAGAGATAGGTGCTCTGTGGGTGAGAGCCAGCCGATCTATAGTTGTAAGCGCTCTGCTGGGCTGTCATCGATTAATATCGATCAAAGTAACATCACAATCCGTGGATCGCAATCAGATGAAGTTTAGATGGGTCGTAGCTGATGGCGCTGCAACGAGCTCATAAATGGGGAGCAGAGCAAGAGTAGAAAGGAAAGGTGGTGGGCATTACCATTGGCGCCCCACTGCTTGGTCACCTGTTGTCAGCTGCCGACATCTTCCACCGCAGTCCTAGCTAGGGATTTCAATTATTTAGGCAGTGTAAACTCACCTGATAGTATGAGCTCAGTGTGTATTCAATACGTGGTGTGGCCTTGTGAATCACGGATTACTATGCGCGACGGACACGCCCACGAGGGTAGACAATTGGACCTAGGCGCTTTCATTAATCCTTTCGAGATATAAGGTCTCAGTCTTCAGAGCATGTAACAGGCCACCATGTCGGAGGATTGTCGAGAAAAGCCAAAGCAGTGTAGCAAGGGGCTGCAGCCGACGATGTAGTGGTAAACGGACTGGTTGATTCAGAGAACCCTTCGAGTAAGGTAGAGCCCAATCTAGCTAGACTGAATATATGATGGGTCCTGTCCCTAAACACTAATTTTCTCAAAATCAAACATCCAGTACGACGGTTTCATGGTATTGCTTGGGTTACAGGGAAACATCACGATCTCGTGCTACGGCAACAGTTTCTACTCTGTACATTGTGACTTGGGAAATTAACCGTGACAAATAATGCCACCGTACATCTTAAGATCTAAAAAGTTATTATTGTGATCTAGGCTAAAGGACAGGTGGTATTGGCTAGTTCTATCGTTGTAGCTGGAATGCCCCACTGTAGCCGTCCACGCTGCCATGGTGGGTATTCCCATTGGTTGTGCATTAGGTATCCGTATACCACCCTTGATCCACACCGTCACCATCACGATCCCACGCCCCCGGACGATGCCCGCGAGTCTAGCGGAAAAAGGCGGATCGGATATCTCGTCGGGATGCAGGGCTGGCCGGCGGCTGGCAACGGGAGTCTTCTCCCCGTGGTCAATCCGATATCGTTATGGCGCAGTCCTTTATTCAGAGAGGGTCTTTTGACAGTCCGCTATTTTACTGGATTGTCAAGAAGGGCACATTCTCCGGCGCTATTCGGGGCTGACTTTCCGAGATAAGATCAAGGCGCGCGGCGGATATAAGCGAGATCGGGCATGCGTGTTCTCGAGAAATTCGTCCAATTTGAGTGGCAAAGGAAGAGAAAACGTTTTCAAGCCTTACGCCGTGCAGGCCGGCGCGCTCTCTTCAGGGGCCGTGCAGCCTAATCAAGCGTGCAGGGGAGTCCATTTGCGGCAGCCACCCCCGAGAATGATCTGTGGCGTAAGGCTGCAATTATTGTCCGTGCCACAGGACGATTCGACATATTTCAGAAAACAGCTCACGACATCGGGGGAATAATTTCGGTAGGCGTAAAAGATGGGCGTTTTCCCGTCGTGGTCTTGCGTGCAGCAGTTCGCGCCTCTCTCAAGGAGTATTTCGGCAATGGTGGCAGATGATAGCTGCGCTGCAAGGTGCAATGCTGTCTGACCCTGATTATCCTTCAAGCACCAAGCAATGCCGTAGTCCAGCAGCCGTTCGACAGCGTTCAAGTGACCGTTGAGGACAGCCAAGTGGAGAGCTGTCCGATTAGTGGAGTCTTTGCCGGCGATGACTGTCTTGTTCTTCGCATATTCCTGTTCCAGGGAGGCTACGTCACCGGTAGCAGCAGCGTGGAGAAAGAGCTGATGGCTGTCCATGGCTATGGTCGGGCTCTCGTGCCGGGAAGAAGAAACAAGAGTGGTAAGCTAATCTCACACGAGACGGATAATCTGTCTTTATATAGTCGGGACCACTCAGCAGGGGCTTCTTGCTTATTTGCAACGAACATGACTAGACTGTGGCTAAATGCCAATGTGGACGTCTCCTGCATATTAGACTGCGACGGCGTCGGCCTCGAATTGAACCGAGTGGGTAAATCCCCTCTGGGTTGTTGCTTAGCCTCCCGACTCCCACGGTTTTCTTGGAATACTAGCCTCTCGCGAACGCGTGCAGTCTCATTTGTGAATAGTAATGGCCGATGGTCACAAAAGCTCAGCCAATAGCCAGAGAAGGACGGTTAGAAAGGTGGATATTCCGCAGCGAGGCAGATGGTAGGCAGCTCGAAGCAGCTTCTGGTCCGCACACGACTGATTTCCTTTCTCGGCCTAATGCAAACCTCGTAAGGAGAAGTTAACCCCTAGAGTCTAGGCTAGAGCACGCACTAGACGTCGCCAGATGTCGACTGATGTCTCGTGCCGTGGTTTTGTGGTTCCGCGGGAGTTGTGGTGGGACCGTTCCACCACAGTTATATTTTTTCTTTCGGCCGTGATTAGTTCAAGATTCTCCTGCTCGATTTGCTGCTGACTGGAAGATCGGGAAACCCGAATCGAAACCGGAAATGGCCCCGGTGTCACCTCCGACAGGGGTTTGTAAAACACTTAATTTTATGGTTAAATGTGATTTGGTGCCTCTCGTATTGAGTCTTCGATCCACGGCTAGAAAACTCTTGGGTTCCCGCACTAGCGTCTTGTCCTTTTCTTAACTTGCTGCAGGTCAAGAGATTTTCATGTGATTGGAATGACACAACTTTTCGCACTTTTTGGCAACAGGACAGTGGAATGGTGACCACATGGGATCATGTCCGCTGCAACTCTCCCTGCGACAACTTCTGTTGGGGGCAGTCTGGAACGGGTGGGTAGAAAGTGGGCATACCTAAAACCGCCAACGAATCTTGTTCGGGAGCTCCGGGGGAACCCCGGAGTAAGTCACAATTGTTAAAACCGTTCGCTAATTTCGCTAAGCGAGGTATCAATCTCTACCAAGCGGAAAGAATATTTTGTAGGAAAGGCCATGCCTCTTTGGCTTCTCCTGTTCTGCACATCACTGGCATGGCGAAGTACTTCAATTTGGTGTTATCCAGTAGAAGTACAGGGCACAGCCTCGCAGGTATTTCTGACGGAAGATTTGGCTAGTGGTGGGAAAGAATTAACCCTCTCGAATGAGATAAAGAAAGGGGCAGCCGGGCTATCCTGCGCTTCATTCACAATGCCGAAGTATGTAGACTTAGACGTATATTACCAATCTTCGTACGATTCAATCAACCAATCCTTGTTATCTTGAGTCATTCTAGCTTCCCCACTCTGAGGTAGAATGACGATGCATGATATCCTGCTCGGCAATCACTGTTGATCCATTCTGGAGGTTGCAAGCTCCAGCATATGGTGGACCCAGATACCTTCAAGCTTAATTAGCCAGTGATGCGTGTACTTCTCCTCTGGGCACGTCGCGGCCTGGTCCGATAACGGAATGCTTAATATTATAGGCTAAATCCACAGCATCGATAGCTAAGCAAGCAACATCCAGCCCCAATAGCACCATCGACATCGCTCTGTAGTACAGCGCTTTTACCTCGAATACACTGTTCCGGATGCCAAACTCAATCAACGGACAAGGGTATTGTTCTAGGAGACATGAGACTAAATTGTCATTAAGTCAGAGCGAACAACAAGAGCATGACATATCTCGGTAGATTACGGACCTTTAACTGCCCCAGAGACTACTCTAGCTTTGTGGCGGAAAGCAAGCATCTCGTGACTTAAGTTTGTGGGCCCCTGTCTCATATAACACTAAACTTCCCAGTTATAGAATGCTAAATAGAAACATCGTTATTGTCTTGTATCCTGTCAAAATTTTATGAGTCCTTTCTGCAGGAAATCGTTGTAGCCGAAACTGCCAGATAGTGAACAAACAGTATACAGTCTAAATATTGACCGGTCCGTGACAACCATATGTCGAGGACCTTTCATGCGATGAACAGACCACCTGACTACCACATGGTTTTCTTTGTTCTAAACCGCCCTTCTCAATGATCATTTGGTACAGCATCTACTATATATGGGATTTCCTTCATCTGTTGAATCATCTTTAACCAGCCAAAGCATTTAGTTCTGTGCCCGTCGGCTTGAATTTTCTTTTTCTTGCCGTTCACATTTCATTTTCTACACTTTACGTCTTCACTGAAGCACACTCCCCTTTTCTTTAACTTGACTTCACCGAATGCTAGTCAGTCGTGGTACCTGGTCCTGACGAAGATGGTCTTGCGTCCGTTCTCAACTAGTTCCTTGGAGGTATTATGCACAGAAGAGCGTCTGGACCTGCTAGACTCAGTTGATACACTCCGTCTCCAGGGTATCAGCCATTACATTTCCCTTCCACAGATCATTGTCTGTGCTGGAGGCGATATCAGGTCTTTCGTTCCCGGTCAAAAGCAACATTTGCACACGCACCCCACAGAGCTTGTTCTGCACAAGAGCCCCCACATTGGAGTGAGGGTATCTATTGCTCCCCATCGCTCTCGTAGCCATGTTGAGCAGGACACACTCTCGCGCTTCCACGATGAGCTCGCGGGTTTCGAAGGGCTCCCAAAACTGATCGACGATGCAAAAGCTGCGATGGGTATATTAACTCATGTCAAAACCTTCCCGAATGACCTTCTTGAGTTGAAGTCTCAGGCCCCGACCATCCCCATTTGACAATCGTCTATCTTCCCGGGCTGACCCACTCCGAAACGAAGCTGCAGTCGGCCGCTGATATCATTTATGTTCAAGATGCTGTTTAATTATATATAAAGAAGCCAAGGAGTATTATTCTCGGTGTTGTATCCGCTGAAAATGATTTTGCAAATTAGATTATTCTTCGACTTGTCCGACAAGCCAATCGCTCTGGCCACCGAACACTTTGTGTCATCACAAAGCCTGACATATTGGTTGAGGGGTAGGAAAGTGAACGCTAGTTCGTCTTACTTGCGAAGAATTAGGAAGTAGGTTTCCGCCTCGGATGGCATGTCCTCAAGAATATGGACACGGAGAAGGGAACTTGGAGTCTTTGCGCTCGCAGAGAAGAGGAAGCCAAGTTCTTTGCCAAGGGTATCTGGGGAGACTTGCCACCGTCCCAGGTCGGTATAGACACTACGGCAGCGACTCAGTAAGCTCCTTTTGGGCCAAATTGCCGCAGAGCTACCCAGCTTAATCGATGATATCCAATCTAAGATGGATCAATGCGTGAAGGGGTTCGAGAAACTTGGAGAACCTCGCGCTACCCTCAAAGGAGCAGCGATCATATCTTCTCCATATCAGCCAATACTTTCAGACTCGCGTGAAATCTGGCCTAGATGGTAGTTAAAATAGCCCCTTCTTTGAGAGTGCCCAATTAGAGAATGGGTATCAAAAGCGAATACGTGCAGTCATCCAGAATCTGAATGAAGATTTCGCTCAGCATATAATCGAAAACGGACATGACTGTCAGATATGCAACGACATAGAGGTCAACAACACGTCTGATGAACGGTTGCTTATCACTCGCGAGGAATACCTCGAGCATTTTACACTATACGGCCTCAGACTTGTATGATTAACAATTAGGTATGTGCTAAAAAGCAGACCTGACCTCATAATGGTTCAAATGTCAATCCTAGAATATTGAAAGCTTGTACTCCTCTGAAGGACGACATCAACATGTTATTCAAACGTGCTAGTGACCTACCGACCCACTCTTCATTAATCAATCTATTGACCTACCAATATATACAGTGGCATGTACATGTAACGATTTCAGGACTCAGATTATCCCCCTCTATCTGGTTCGACAAAATAACGGAGAGCTTAAAGGCTAAAGTCCCAAACAACCACGGAATGATATATAAAATTCAACTCCATACAAGACCCAGAAATAAAATCACAGGCGATAAGCAAAGACGCAAGTACCCTAAGCCGACTCTAGTCGATACAACTGCGTCGTAGTGTCACCCGACTGCCGTCCCATCCTCCCCGGATTGAGGAGCTTCGAAGGGTGATAGAAGCCCATAACAACCATAGTGAAGAACATCAGCATGGAGTCAAAGACATACATGAACACCTCATGGCTAATCAGATACCCAGCATTCCCCTGGGCATACTCGATGAGACGGAAAATCGATCGCACAAGGATGAGCACACTCGACACATAAAGCACACCCATTACGGTTACCCAGGTCGTCTCCGTCCACTTGGACTGGCCTTTGATGAGTGATCTTTCCGTCGGGTTGTGGTGGATTCGCCAGTGGAAGATCGTCGAGGTGACGATAAAGACGCTGAAGAATGCTAGTTGTACTGCGAGACCAACGATGGTGACTGTCTCGCCCGTGTTCATGGCGCTGAGGCTCCCGCTGGCCATGATCCCGCCGCCTGGAGGTTCTTTGTTAGCTTTATGCTGCTCAGTGGGACCAGGGGGGATCGATGCATACCTGCTGCCTGCATGACGAATGCGACCACGTCGCCGATTACGAATATCAGTGTTAACCACCTTGTAGGCACAATGCTGAGCGCTTCCGCGTCCAGGTACTTGATCAGTCGACCGAGAGTCATATAGATCGAGGCGGCGTAGAGTGGAGGCGCGAGGAGGATCATGATCGTTCCTATGGAGTAGATCGGTATAGAGTTGGTGTCGTTATGCGCCAGTGCACGGCAGATGTAGCCGATAACTTGAACTACGCGTATATGTCAGTATTGCCCTCGCCCGTTTGTATCACATGAAGAGGGAAAACCTACACACTCCTCCAAATACGAACACAAGGAAATACCAGGACCTTAAGCGAATCACTTGGTAGAGGTGATATAGAGTAATTAGGGCGAATAGAATAAGGAACAGGACTGCTGCCCCAAGCGACGGTGTATAGCGGTATAGCTTAAACTCGAACATTCCTTCGGTGGAGTCCATCTCGGTCGAAGTTGAGCTGTGATGATGGCAGATGTCGACCAGTTCTAATAGATAATAAATCCAACTATCCAAGCTGCTTTTAACGGAAATTTGACATCAAAAAGTCAAGGCAGCAATGAAAAAAGAGGGGGCTGAGAAGATGATTAAAGAGAGACAGATGACTGAACCATCTGGACGATATTGTTGTCCCTTAATATATCCTCTTGCCTGTTAATCATGTTGATAGATCCTTCTCCATGACTCCACTCTAACCCATCTAGTCGTTTATCCCGCGTTGGATTTGATTTTACAGTTATCTCCAAGCCGGTAAAAGGACTAGTCCAGGAAAACTACGGAATCTACTTCGTCGAGACGACATCGTTAGCCAACGATATCGCATCATTAGGTCAGGGATAGGGCTTAGAAGAGTGGACCATTGTGGCGAAGAGACAGAAATATCTTTCAACCAGATTAAAAGTGACCCGCTTTCGGCATGCCTAAAAACGGCGTGCGCCAGTACGAGTATACGAGAATGCGAAGATACGAATCGCGATGGAGAATGCCCGGTCACCATAAGTGCGCCGATAGCAGTTGTATGCTAAAATATCATCTGCTCAATCGGGTCGTTTACTACTTATATTCTATAACGTATATGATACAGAAATAGCTAGGCCTCCTCATCGATGCCCTTGTGAAGCTGTCCATGAGCTGTTCGTATATTCGTTCGTATATTCGCATAAGTTGTGGGTCGTCGAAGCCCTCAGTGCCGGGAATAAACCATAACCTAAAAGCGAGACCCACACCTTCGGAGATCAAAACGATACTACGAGGATACGAGGATCCGAACATACGAAGGTGCGAGCCATTTGTTATTGATCAGGTCGGCAGACATCGTTCCCGGAGCACAGCACAAGAAGAATGAATTATGTAGCGCTTCCCATTAATGGAAGATGTAGTATCTTCTTGCTGTTTCTGCGAGAGTATACTAAATCTAGTAGTAATTACCGGTTCTGGGATGTGGTATATCGTCTCGACGGAAGATATCTGGCCATCAGTGAACTGTAAAAATGCGACATGGTCTCACTCCTCTTGACTTGCTGCTATGACAGCCATCGGCCATTCCATGAGGCTAGGAGTTGGTCATTTTGCAAATCACTCACAAGCCGAAAGATCTTTTGGATCTCCTTGTGAAAGGCCCGATTAAGATACCACAAATCCCCCAACAACAGGAAAACCAGATAGAAATGAGCCAAAATCGTGTATGAGAATCCTTCAGCAATCTCAACTTGGCCCCGTGGCTTAAGGGAGGTAATGAAGGCATTTGATACCATACTAGGCCAGGACGCGACGGCGGCCTCTTCTAGATCGATCTGAAAATCCCGCGATGCAGAGCAATCACGCCCACTGTCGGAAAAGTGAAACACATTAAGGATACGCATATATATCTCCTCTAGTTTATCGATGGTATTTGCATGCTCCTGACTTGGATTATCAGCATTTCCGGTCTGAGTATCCGACGAACTCTGGGGCGACGTAGCATTGGCCTCGTTTGCTGCAGGGCTCGAAGATAATGTGGCTGCGTAGGTGCGTAGCATAGAAAGAGAGTGAGTGGCACCCTGCGTAAATATCAACACTACACGGGAGCCATAGGTCAAACGCGGGACACGGGCTAATGAAAGGGTGTGTCTCCAATCGTCGTTAGCGTAGTCGTAATGTAACATGGATCTCAGTCTGCTGGTTTTGAGGGTAAACCAATGCTCTTGAAGCACACTGGTCAGCCCTCGAACCAAATGAAGCCAGTCAGTAAACGGAGTTTCGTAAATTTCTCCGTTGCTCAATCCCAGCTCTGTCATATTCAGGTCTCGGATGGATAAAGAAGCAAAGGCAAAGGCAACGATTAAGAGTGAGCCGCAGAACACATATTCTGCCGTGGAGGCAGACATATCGGATAGAGCCTCTCGGAACCCTTCGAGCCCCCTTTGGTGATGTTCAATAACGCGATGAAGATCACGAATCGCAGAATTGTCTATAGATGAAGTGTTGGATTGGTTATCGTCTTTGTTCAGTGTTCCAGTTCTTGCCATGTCTGATTCATATAGCGTATGTGCTCCAGCGAGTGCGAGGAGTAGATGCATCAAGTATTCCTTTTGTGCAGCCATGTCTGGGATAACTTGCTGCCAGATTAACATTCGTCTCGGATGAAGACTCATCTTCTTCGATGTCTGCAGCATGAACTTGGTCAAAAGGTTCATGTCAGCCATATTGATTATCCGTCCATGCAGCGATGGTTCTGGGGACCCAGGAAGATAAAATTCCAACGGCTGCAAGGGGTTTGGTACAGGAGCCACCCGCCTAGGGTTTCGCGAGCGCCGAGAGTCTTCTGAGTCCACCGAGCTATGATCCCTCATGTCAGTGAATCTGCCTGGGCAGTGGTACTGCAAGGAGAAAGCTTGATATGCCTTTTCTCATTTGGCTAGGAAGTACTATACATACGTGGGTGGCGCTGGAGGCGGAAATGAACATGATTCACCACGAAAAGAGCATGCACCACAAACAGGCCTTACCTCGTCACACTGCAACATGTGGTCAGTAGACAATTTGAATATGTTGCAATGCGATGATTAACAGACCTTGACTCTTCGTTGCTTGCAGGTGTAGCAGCCATTGCGGGATTTAAGGTGGCGCGCCCTGTGCCTTTTTTCATACCGTGCACGCGAGCCGCTCTGTGCAGTAGGAGTAGCTGATGGGGATGGAGTATCAGACATATTTCGGTAGGTGGAAGACCGATCCCTTGACTTTGGATCCAATCCGTTTCGTGGAGTCTGGGAGACGGGGGATGAGCTGCATGAAGACGGAACTTCTTCGGGGCTTTCTGTCGAATTGTCTCTACGGGGGGCCAAGCAATCCAGAGCTGCACATGCCCTGGTTGGTATTGGCGACGAGAAGAAGAAGAACATCGTGATCAACCATACTCCGTTAGATCATTCAGGAGCATCTCGACTCAGCTGTAGGCTCCTCCTCCAGGAAGTTGAATAGATTGGGATCGTTTAATCGTCCTGATAGATCAAGCAATGAAGTATTAGTAGGATATAGACGTACAACAACCAAACGAGAACTTGGAGTTAATTTAGCATGCACTGAGTATAGTTAAAACAATTAAGGAGTGTAACTACTAGGGTACGACTGTCCTTTTTATCAAAGGTCGGCTGGCTTGGCCTGTCGGGGGAAGCTTTCTGCATTACACATAGAATGTTCTCTTCAACCGGGGCTCGCCTATCTACCCGGCTTATACAATCATAGGGAGTTAGATACAGTACTATACTGACGAGCAGAGCTCGGCTCTGAGGCAGGGGACAGTCTGTATGCGATTACGTGTAATTGCCGAGCAGCGGATGGTTTGCGAGTGGCAACATACGAAGATACGAATATACGAGAGTACGAAGTGGATACCATCCCAAAATTCATAAGCCCTATCTATTTTGAAACTGGGTCCCTGGTGCCCTGATCTACTATCTATTGAGGTTTTTCATAATAGAATCAATCTTACTACTTTCTGCTCGCAAACCGGTCAGGGGGCTGCCAATCTGATTTCACGGTCCACTGCATTTAAATACATCATGCTACCTAAATCTACAATGATCCCCAACGGCAACGGAAGAGAGCACTTCAGCATTGATTATCTTTTACCCCTCCTTGCACCAGGATCCTCAAAACACCCAGAATGGGGAGCAGTGGCGATGCTATAAATGCAGCATCAAACGAAGCGTCCATGTTCGCCTTCTATCGATATGACCCCAGTATGGCCGGCGCCGTAATCTTCACTGTCCTGTTCACGATAACGACATTATGGCACGCGGTGCAGCTGTTCCGAACTCGAACTTGGTTTTTTATCCCATTCCTGGTGGGCGGTATATGTCAGTAGTTGCTTGTTTCCACAGATATTGTGTGTTCAATCTTTCTTGCATGAGCTGTACTCATTCCAACAGTTGAAATCATCGGCTACATTGGACGCGCCCTGTCGAGTCATGAGAGTCCAAACTGGACCCTTGGTCCTTACTTGATCCAAACTTTGTTTCTTCTTCTTGCGCCTGCTCTCCTAGCTGCCTCTGTTTACATGCTCCTCGGACGCATTATCTTGATTCTGCGAGCAGAGTCCCATGCAATCCTGAGTAAAAAATGGTTGACCAAGATCTTTGTGACGGGAGACGTTCTTTCATTCTTTCTACAAGGTGCCGGTGAGTCAACCTTAGCACACTTCTCCCCAGCTCAGCCTACGCATGTAACAACTGGCGCAAGTACTAAACCCCATCCAGGAGGCGGCATCCAGAGCAGCGGCAGCCTAGACAACATGAAGCTGGGCGAAAGGATTATCGTGGCGGGACTCTTCGTCCAGATATTCTTTTTCGGCTTCTTTATAGTCACAGCGGGTAGCTTTCATTTGAAGCTGAGAAAATATCCGATCCCACGATGCCACGATCCGTCGATTCCGTGGAGGAAGCATCTGAACATCCTGTACGCGACCAGCTTCTTGATCATGGTGCGGTCGGTGTTCCGCTTGGTGGAGTATCTTCAGGGCAACGATGGGTATCTTTTGCATCATGAGATATTTCTCTATATCTTTGATGCTGTATTGATCTTCGTTGCTATGCTTCTTTTTAACATCTTTCATCCTAGTGAATTGGCGCATCTGCTGAGGGAGGCACACGAGTACGAGCTGCAGAGTACATATGATAAATATGAGGTGTAAGGTGCTTGTTGCACACTGATGTATTGGTTGGCTGTTTGAGACTGTTTGCTATCGTTCTAGATAGATATAGAATATTTGCTGTTGTTTAATGCTTAGTAGATTGTGCATATGCCAGGGTCGAGTCCAAATCGTCTGCTTGAGGTATCGAGATCCGTCGTATATTTAGGGTTACAACAAATAGTGAACTGGCACATCTCTTAGCTAGGATAGTCTAAGTAATTCTACGCGTTAAATCACGAGTACTTCTCAAGTGTCAACCAGACCTCGAAGTACACTATACCTGGCCCGATAGGGAAGTGCTCCTGGCAACGAGAATATACAATAAACACCATCCCTCCCCTTTCTATGCTATTTGATCCACCCTATAAGCATTCAACTATGGGATTATAATCCAAGCCGACTACTCCCAATCTGGTTAGCCAAAATCTCCCTTGCCTTGCCATTTGCTACAACGCCCCTCCTACTTTCTCTCCCAATCAGCCGTACTTCAGATAATACTTCAACATGCCAAATAACCCAATCTCCTTCGACACCAATGGCCTCTACATCCTGGTCTCCGACCTCGGCTCTGACATCCAGTTTCACTGGGCCCTCTACCTTGCCCAAAGTCAGGGCCAAGGCATCATGTTCCATGTGATCAACAGCATCGAGACGGGCAATCAGTGGCAATATCAAACCAAACCTATTACCGGCATTCCAAATTCACTCAATCTGCTCGTCTCCTTGAAGATCGCGGTAATGGACCCTGCATTGCATGTTGCACTGGTAGATCGACTTGCTGCTGTTCCTGAAACCCCGCCGATCACTTGCCGCTTGTGGCTGAAGCGAGCACTGCATGAACTGGATGAGGAGGGGTATATTCAACTCACGGGGAGCATTAATGATATTGAACAGGAGGCTCTCATTGAAGCGGCGGAGAATCAGCCGCGGAGGATACGCACTGGTCTTTGTAGTCGCTATTGTGTGGTTTAGCTTTGGTGTTGAGCTCTGTATGTGGGTTTCAACTTGGTAATGTCCTTCGGGGGGTTTTTGGGTATCTGAAGTGGTCAGAGATAGAGATGGACTTGTGCAAAGCGTATAGAACTACTGCTGATGTAGAGAAGGACTTTGAAGTACAAGGTCATGAAGAATTTGGTGTACTACAGAGATGCTTGTTGTCAACGGAATAGGCTTCTGTATCACCATGACCTGCGGATATGCGCTGTGAAACGAAAGACTTACTAATTCATGGCTCTGTGATTCGCGTTTTTGTTCGTTTCGATTTGCTTCAAAGGTAGACTACCATATCAATTGCTTCCATGGTGAGAATATTGAGGGATGAGGGCTTATTACACTAACTGTGCCTTATTGATGCCTGAGGCTTCACGTAGTGTCCAATTAACTTTCATCCCCACAACTTCTGTGTTCCGAACTTCTTCATTAAATGTAAACTGACATTGACAGACAGGACTTTCATGCGCTATGAATCAAACTCTTCTATGTCTACCTTCCGTATATTATCATTGCTGTGCCACGAATATGAGACTCTATACGCGCTGCGAGCAATAATCAGCTAAGAGGAACCCTGCAGCCATGGAATCAGATTTCACCACGAAGGAAAGGTCTGGCGATGGAAATGGTCCGAAAGTACCAAAGGCTCCAGCAAAAACCTCCTTATGGCAGAAGCTTCAAGCTCAATTTAATCCGAGGCCTCCGGACGATGACGAGCCGCAGGCTGGTGGTTCGCGTCGACCTCCATCCCCTTGATGGCGGCTACCACCAGTCCCTTTGCAAACGTGATGTCGGTGATCGCGCTGGCTATGTCCTGGCGAAGCGAAATACATCCTGAACAACAGGACCCGGAGGGAAATCCGGTGCAGACATTGCTGCCTGATCCTAGATGGTAAGCCCCCCGGAAATAGCCATGTGGTCTACACTAACTGTGTCAGGTGCATTGGCCTGAACGCCACTTCTCTTGCCTTTGGGATGCTAGGGAATCTTTTTCTTTTATTCAATTTTACACGGACCATCCGGTATATTATCGCGCTGCCAGCTTCTATCATTTCTTGGTCCTTAGCGACCGGCATTGTAAGTGATGACGGCCCGTGTCCGCGAGTATTTGCTAACGCACACAGTTGATCGGACTCACCAGCTCGGTGCATATCTATGCGAGCCCGATACCGCCAAACCAGACCTACTCGCAGGCATACTGGTATGCCGTGATTGCGGCGATTCACTATTTCATTCTCACCTCTATCCTCATGATTAACATGCTTGGATACTTTCTCGGACATTATCCTCAATATTTTGCCTTAACAGACGGTCAGCGGACCCTGATTCTCCAGACTACCGCTTTTGGGGTCTGGTTAATAGTAGGCGCCGCAGTCTTCCACGAGGTCATGGGCATATCCATTGCGGAGGCGCTGTATTTCTGCGATATTACCATTCTAACGCTTGGCTTTGGCGACGTCACCCCCAAGACATCTGTTGGGAGAGGTCTTGTCTTCCCTTACGCTGTGATTGGAATAATCATCTTGGGTCTGGTAGTGGGGAGTATCAACAACATCATCCGAGACATACAAGATACGAACGTCGTGAAAAAGCACAGGGAACGGTGCCGAGAAACGACAATCAAACACTCTCAAATGGAAGAAGACCTTCAACTGAGAACCAACACATCAAGAATCGCGTATCGGCCCAAACACACGCGGAAAACACCCATCATAAGCAAAGTAACAGCCATCTACCGCGGCGTGCGCGGTCGGCCAAAGGACATCGTCATGAGAGAGGAAAAGGACCGGTTCGACGCTATGCGCGCCATCCAGTACGAAAGCGTCGTCTTCCGTCGCTGGTACCGACTCATCCTCAGTCTCATTGCATTCGGCATCCTGTGGACCTGCGGCGCGGTTGTATTCTGGGCCTTGGAGGAGCAGTTCACGTACTTTCAGGCCCTGTATTTTGGTTTCTGTTCTCTGTTGACTATCGGGTACGGGGACATCACGCCCACCACCAACGCGGCAAAGCCGTTCTTCGTCGTGTGGTCGCTCATCGCCATCCCGACTATGACTTCGCTCATCTCGGAGATGAGCGATACCGTCGTCGCCGTGTTCAAGCACGCCACCAGCCGAGTCGCAGACTACACCGTCCTGCCCCGGACGGGGAAGTACAAGTCCTTCATTGCCAGGTTCCCCCCCATTTCCGCCTACCTCGAGAAACGCGAGCAGAACAAAAGAGTCGCCCAGGGGTTTCAAATCGGTCCCGATGACGTAGAGGGGACACAGACCGGCGAGTCCTCAACAAACCCGCAACCGACCGGGCAAGGAGGGGACAAAGAAGAACTGTCGGATTTCGAGCTAGCCCAGCGTCTCGCGTTCGCTATCCGTCGGACGACCCGGGATGCCGTCAATGGCCATCCGAAGCGCTACACCTACGAGGAATGGGTGGAGTTTACGCGAATGATCCAATTCACGGATCAGAGTCCGGGGGACACGGTATTGTACGAGGATGAGTATGGGATTCTGAATTGGGACTGGATAGGTGAGGATAGTCCCATGTTGGCTTCGCAGACGGAGCCGGAGTGGGTTCTTGATCGGCTGTGCGAGAGTATGATCCGGTTTATCTCCACGCAGGAGCAAAAGAGACGGTCGAGTGAGGATGTCGATGAGGATGAGCCGACGTTGAGAAAGGAAAAGGATATATAATGCTGTATAGAATGATAATCAATTGGGTCTCGATACAGAGGGTAGATGTCCAGCAATACGTACATAGCCATTGCATAGACACACATACAACCCAACCATCGCACTCATTCTCAAGCCAGCGACGTCAGAGCCACAGTAAGCAACCACCACCCTCTAGTCCAGACCCAGTAAGCGCTTGCACCATCGGCATCCAACCTGACGACACCATGGAAATCACAGCTTAACACAGTTAAGCAGCAACCTAACCGAAACTCTAAGTCAGTCACTTCCATATATAGTCTCATGTATACACCAGAACTAAAAACCACAAACCACAGAAAAAACAATCTCTTCTTCCCTCATTACACTCCTTATTTAAAAAAAAAAAGTAATAATGTCTCCAGCGAAACCCCACCGCGGCTTACACCGCGGCTCATTCCGCTCAACCAGAAACAGTTGGATTTGTCATCCGGGAGCGAATCTTAGGAAGCAAATCGATTCGGTTCGGACGAACTTCTCGGCAACCGTCTCCGCAGTATAAATAATTATAAATACTACAGCTATACTTGCTGACACTTACACACTTGCCTCCTGTAAACAAGTCTATATCGACGAGTCTAGTGCATCAATAATTCCCGAACCAGTCCAAGTTAATCCACGACAATCTAAACAGTCAAGATGGCTTCGTTCGGAAAGATCTACTCGTATCCTAATAACCCCCGGGTTATGAAGGTATGTTGTATACCCCTCCGACATAACCCCTCAACCACCATACAACCCAACCCATACAAATATATCACCACCACACCACAAACCAAACCAAACCAAACTAACAAATAAACAGATCCAAGCCGCCGGCAACCTCAACTCCCTCAACATCACCGTCGACCCAAATTTCCAAATGGGCGTGACGAACCGCAGCCCCGAATTCCTGGCCAAGTTCCCCATGGGCAAAGCACCCGCGTTCGAAGGCACCGACGGCACCCTGCTCTTCGAGTCCGACGCCATCGCGCAGTACGTCGCCGAGAGCGGCCCCGCCAAGGACCAGCTGCTGGGCGCGTCGGCGGTGGAGCGCGCGCACATCCGGCAGTGGAGCTGCTTCGGGGAGGGTGACGGCATGGGCGCCGTGGTGCCGTTTGCGCTGTGGCATATGAAGCTGGCGCAGTATAGTGCGGAGGAGTTGGAGGCCCAATTGGCCAAGGTGGAGAGGGTGGTGGGTGCCGTTGAGGCGCATTTGAAGGCTGGGGATAGGAAGTGGTTGGCTACGGAGGAGAAGTTGAGTTTGGCGGATATTAGTGTCGCGGCGGCGCTGAACTGGGCGTTTGGGCTTCTCTTGGATGAGGAGCTGAGGGCGAAGTATCCTGCTGTGGTGGCGTGGTATGAGAGGACCATTGAGAGTGAGGGTGTGAAGCAGGCGTTTGGCGAGAAGAAGTTCATTGACAAGAGACCTGCTTTTCAGTGAGTCTGTTTTCTAGCGAGATCGGGCTTGATGCCCAGTCGGAATTATGAGGAATGAATTTGAATATCAAAAAGATAATACGATATGAATATAGTGAAACACTGCTTTCATTCACACGGGATGGAGTATCGTTAACAATACACTAATAATGATGCTTCATTACTTTCATATCAGGGCGAAGCGATGCCCTCAACCAGTACACTTCCAGTGCCAATCAAAGACGCGCCATGACGCCTCCCTCCTTGCTCAACGACCGGGCAATGTTCTGGCTGGCCCAATCGGCAATGGCCAAGTTGGTTACCATGGGATTGACGCCACTGGCGCTGGGGAATACGGATGCGTCGACCACGTACAATCCGCGTGTGCCCCAGACCTGACAATCCGGGTCCACCACGCTGGTCCGCGGGGAGCTGCCCATGCGACAGCTACCCATCTGGTGCGCCGCGGCAAACGTGGTCTTCTCGGGGTCGAGGGTCTTGCTCCGGGCTTCCGCAATCCATGCCTGAAGGGCAGCATTGTTCGTGCCCTCTGGCGATGTAGGGTCCGATGCATCCTCGGGCCGGATAAAAGGCGGGATTTCACGGCTCGAAGTATGAAACTCCTTAGCCCCGGAGATGTACGCTATCTTTGCTGTAGCCACTAGTGCCTCGAGAATATGCTTGCGATCGAAGGCGGAAACTGTATAGTCTACCCGGGGTCGTCCATCGACAGGGTCCGGATATACGCGGCCAGTGTCGCGATCCTTCGTAAGGCTAATGAAGCCGGCCATGTGGGGGAGCTTGGCCGCAAATTCCTTCCATTGCAGCCCGTCCCGCCAGGGGAAGGCCGGAAGGAAGGCCGGAGGCAGCATTGTGAGACATTCGATCTTGACTCCGTGGCCTTGTTTGTCGAGGTTCTCAAATTCATTGACAACGGCGGTCAGGGCGGCTCCTTCCCACGGACGAGTTTGCTCGTCAAACACGGCTCCCGAGATAGCGACTAGACATGGAATGAGTATGCTACCTACGGAGTGACCGGGGAAGCTTACCTGGATGGAGATGAAGATTTCGACCAATCTGGGGGTTCTTGAGACCACTGCGTAGCAACAGGAGGGGACTTTGCAGCGTGCCGCAAGACACGACAACCCGCTTCGCTTTAATAATGAGCTTGCGCTTCACGCCACTAGCTCCGGACACCCCGAGGTATGCGTCCCGTGAGGTCCATGTGCCCTCTACTCCCGCGGCCACCCTGCCACCCTTGGTCTCGGTGAACAGGACTTTTTCTGCACGGAAGCCTTCCACGAAGGTGGCTCCAGCATGGGCAGCATCCGCCAAAAACGATTCCGTGGGACCCTTCTTGCCCGCCGAATGGCACCCCATCGTGCAATGGCCACAATAATGCTCTGTACCACCGGTGTTTTGCGGTACAGGGTTCGCTGCATAGCCTAGTTTGTGCGCTCCTTCCAGGAGAACACGGTTCTGCTTGTTGTGAGTCGTGTGATCTGCGCTGACACCCATCCGATCACACACGCGATCCAGGGAGTTCTGAAATTCCAGTGATGTGAAAAATGGCAAGCCGCCCTTCGCCCATTCCTCACGAACATAGTTCTGTGTCTGAAGAGCTGCCGACCAGTTGATTGTGCCGCCACCTCCCCAAGTTGCCCCGGCGAAGATCCCCATTGAGCATCGTCGGTTGAGAGAGCACCCCCGCCCTCAAACATACTCACCGACCCCTCGCTAAAATTCATTGGGAAGTGCTTTGTTGAGTATTGATAGGCCTTTTCGACCACTATAACCTTATAGCCTGCTTCGGCGAGGTTCTTGGCAGCTACGCTACCTCCACAGCCACTTCCGACGATGACAACGTCGGTCTCGATTGTCTCCGGTCCATCTCCCGACGGGAACTGCAGGAACTCGTACTCGAAACCATCCGCGGGACTTCCGTGCACCGGGACACGGGGGAATCCAATGGTCGGGCAATACGTAGGGCTATACGTAAGCCATGTCCTCTTGCAGATGGCTGAAAGTGCCCGGTAGATGACGCGCAGAGGCTTTAGCCTCGATGTCTCCCAGCCGCGAAATATTCTCTCCCGGACATGGAACGGCTGGTCCTGTATAGGGGTGGTTGATCCCGTCAAAAGCAAAGAACCAGCCCTCGTGCTATAGTAGTGTCAACTACATTATCCCTCAAAACTGAGATTCAAGAACACATACTTTAGCGTATTCAATATGAAGCTAAGCCCATTCCTGCCTTCCTCATGGACATACTCCGAGATAAGGCGCTGTAGCCCCGGTCGGAAACGAGGATTTGACGAGGCATTTTCTTCTAGATACTGCGTTGCCAGAGCGGTTGCATCAGACCCGGAGATGTTGGCAGTTAATGATGAGAGGCCAGCATCGAACTGGGCCTGTGGAATCACTTTGGTAGTAAACGATTTCGGAGCGTTAGGGCCACGAATGGATGGAATAACCGTATCCGCTATAGCCATCAAGGTAGCCCACTGAAGTTCGGAGAAGACCTCCTTGGTAGGCACCGGAGGAATAGGAACCTCCAGGGGAGTGTAAGCGGCGGCTTGTTCAGCCATTTCGGGACGTTGACCGACAAGATAAAAAGGTTACAATGTAGGAATGTTGGGGAAACAAGGGCTATATATGACGCTGGTGGTAAATCAGGGAGAGAACAAGTGGGTAACAAACCGCCTGGAGGTGAAGGTAACAAAATCATCGAACAAAGACGGCGTCAATGCGCCTTCCGTGCCATGACATTCACCCAGAAGAGTAGTGCTTGCGAAGGCACCGGTGGGGCAGATTTTAGTCTCGGGTCCGGGGCCCAATTTTGAAGACACCCAATTGTCCTTCCAGATCTGAGCCTCTACCCCAGACCATGACCAGTGCCTGCCAATGCCGCTTCCCACTGAGGATTAAGGGAGGAACCGAGGCTATTGCAGGCAGCCCGTCGGGCCATGTGGGTCAGGCCTTCCCCGTGGTTGGAAAAGGAGTCAATCAGCTTATGGCTGATGATCATTGCAGGAGCTAAACTTGGGTTGTATGCGCGAGTGCGGGGGAGAAAAGAGCCGAGACTTTTCCTGCTATTCCATGTGAAATCGTGGATTCGTGGAGAAGACGAACCAGACTTCAATTCATGGACTGACTGTCCGATCACTGGGTCAAAGGATGATCTTCACTCGATCATCCGACTGGATCCGTCGCCAATAGAAACGCCATGAGGTGGCCTGATTGTCATCACCATCAGCGCTCTTCCTTGGACACTGAGGAGGATTCATTCGTACTCCGTCGTTGTGTGGAGTGTCAAGAGAACCAATCTTGTCCTCATTGGGTAACTTCTGCGCCTCAGGCAGATGTCTATACCTATCATGGATTAGTATCATCTGACTTCACGTGCCTGGCTCCTTTTGCACCTCCCCATTTACGTATATCATCTCGCAAGGACTGCCTAATTACATAGTATTCGCTGATGTCGTGACCCCGGAGCAGTGATGCAGCTCTGTGGCCGATACTCTAGCGGCAACAACAAAAGGAGATTGGAGCTACAGGGTCTGGGCCGTGTCTCGGTCAATTGAGCTAATGGGGAAGACTTGTTGTGTTTCTTGTAACTCCCATAGCTATCAATTCCCTGAGCAGAAGAACTCCTCAGTGTTTCAAGTTCTTGTGTCTGAACTTGCAGCATGTCAGCAACTGGCTTAACAATTCACTATACTACCAGGCAATCTGATACGGGCTTCAGTGATCCTTCATACTCGACTGATTCAGATAGGAAACCGGACGCCAGGTGCTATATTGTCTGGATCTCTTGCAAACTTTCAAAATTGATTAAAAGTTTTGTGTTGGTAGAAGCTACTCCGCCAGATTTGTTGGTATTCAGTTGGAATTAAATATTTTCTATGATATCTCCAATTTCCCCGAGAGTCTCATGTACATACATCGCTGAAGCCAGACCGCCAGAGCAGCACTACAAGTATTCCAACCATTTCAAATACCTCTCTAGACCGACCAAAGTATCCCAAAGACCACTCAACACCTAAACCTTGAACCCTAGCGACTAACAAGAGACTTGTGAACATGGCGCATCTGCATATGGTTCGAGTTGCCCGCCCCTTGAATCCAACACCGCAAATTCTGTGCGGCCTTAAGAACCAGAGTCGTACTGATAAGCTGAATTGTTCTGCAAGTTATGCGCAACTTGCACAGCTCATTTGCACTGGACACGTCAAACGTAAGCTCCTCGAGACCATGCTGCCTTGGTATATTCCGACACGCATTTCTCCAGTTCTCCATGAGGGCCCGCAGATCAACGCTCTTAGCATCTTCGTCCATGGCTTCCATGAAATACAACTTGTTATCTGCAAAGGGCTGTAGGAAGTCCAGTCGTAGCATTTTCATACCCTGGCATATGGCCACGCTGGCGGGATCGGGGTCTTCGAGGAGCTTGTGCAGGTCCAGTGGGTTCTGGAAGACGAATCGGTAGGCTGAAGGGGTTTTGAGGATTTTGTCAATGGGAACAGGTGTGCGTTCACTCTTAGTGCGGTAGAGACGCGTGAAGCTGGTTGTGCCATTGTTAGCAACAGTTGTTAGAACATCTATTATGCGCATTTTTTGGTGGTTTTCCTTTATGAGATGAAGAGGGAAAGTAATTGGACGATGTTGAGGTACTCGGCTTGGATATAGTAAGAGTTGTACCGTTATGAGTGAGGAAAGTCTTCTTGGCAGTTTGAGGTTGAAGCTTGAAGAGGGCAGATAGATTGCTTCTATATTGGCCTGTCAGGACTTTTATATGCATCGTTACATGCGTCTGTTCCGCCTCCATGCAGTGCATCAGTGTAACGTGTACAGGTCTTATACAGTGAATTACATCACTAAGCTTGACTACAATGCTAATAGTAAAAATATCTTTCTTTCTTGGGGCTACAAAGAAGAGACATTCTAAACAGAGAAATTCCAGGCTTTGCCACCTAACTCCAGACCGATCACTAGTTGATCACACCCGTGTATTTATGAGAAGCTGTTAGTCTGTACTCTTCTAACATTCAAGATTACAGTTATAACATATCCGTCAAAAGCTCCAATTTGATTGACGAGCCATACTGGTTAGCATGTCAGCACATCGGCTATACATATCGAGGGCCTTCCAAGGTTTCCTCCACTCCCCAAGTGAATGTCAAAGGGGCTTTACTCCGTTGCTTTCAAAGGAGAGTTACTTTCTTTGTTCGATAACAATGCCACCTTTTTAAAAGGAAACCATGTTTAACAAATAATCCATGCAAAACAAAAGCAATCGCCAAGATTAATAGACAATTACATATATCTCAGGGCCCTGTGAGTGCATTTTAGGTAAATACCTCTTCCTGAATGTGGTATTTTTTAAACCTAGTCATTCCATTGTGTTATGTTTGACAGTTTATATCCTCCACCCAGACGTACAGCCAGTTCATATATCGTAGATAACTACGTGAGCACCTTGTACTGCACACGACACATTCTCAGAGTAACCCACTGAGAGACTCACATATTTCTTAGTAGCATGCCGGTGTTGATCCATTACTAGAAACTGTTTACTAAATAGACGGTTGAAACAATGAAGTACTCCTGTTCTACGCTCGATATAAATATTCCTAGAAGAAAGCTATAGGCAAACCAACCCAACAGCTATGTTGGGGTGGCCTTCCAGTTCTTCCACTCATGATACCTCATATATAATACCAAGTTCTTCAAGCTATAGTTGAACAGATATTGGATGACTTCGGAATAAATAGATTGTGGCCATCAGTCCGAATGTATACAAATGCATTGATAATGCACGTGCACAGACCAAGCGGCCGATAAGCTCCATGCGTCAAAGCGACACCGCCTTCCTTGTGTCTATTCTCATCAACTGCTGCATCTCAGCGTAAAACCACAGCTACGGTATGGCACCCTTTCCCATCCTAATGCAGATCTTGTGCAGGGATTGTCGAGTAAAAACATGCAATGCTAATACCGAATTGCAATTGCCCCAGAGACAGCTATGAGCGACCGATCCACATCCACACCGCAGCCCGGTCCATCCCCGTCGCAGCCACGACCGAAATGCACGCTGCCCCCCGAGAAAGTCTTCTCAATTCAAATAGGAACCGAACTCTTCCGTGTCTCGGGAGCGTCGATAGCCTCCGATGGTTAGTGGCTCTCCGGTCGCAGTGACTGATCCCCGCTAAAGTCTTGGAGCTCCGTCCTATTTCTCCCAGTTCTTCGAGGAGCAGCTGCGCCAGACGCCCGACGGCTCGAAGATCCGGACACTGTACATTGATCGCGATCCGAACACATTTAAAGCGATCGCAAGGCATCTACAGGGTAGGCGCGGCACATTGGAATTGGATTGTGGCCGGTGTTGACGTTCTCGTCTGATGTGACAGGCTATCATATTCGGCCCAAAGATGGCACGGAGTTTGTACAATTCTTCGCTGATGCGCAGTTCTATACTTGTATGTCTATCTATCGTGTACCTGGAATATTGAATCCACTACTGACTCGCATTGCTGCTAGTGCCCCGCCTTATCTCCCAACTCTTCGAGTCCGAGATCTTCATTCAAATCGGCGACAAGGATTTCCAAATCCCGCGCGACATCTTCTCTAGTCCCGGCGACTCCCCGAACTTCTTCTCCCTAGCTTCGGTGCCTTCTTTGCCTCCCCGACTGAGATCTTCCCCGGACTCGATCGTCACGGCCTTTTACGTCCCCCAGCCATTATCCCACCAAGTGTGCCCAATCGATCGGGAGAAGTTTTCGCGCAGCTCCTCCACCTCCTGCGCGGATACCCATTGGACATCAAGAATGAAACACACCGCGCCGAACTGCTACGCGATTGTCGCTATTTTCACCTACGCGGGTTAGAGCAAAAGTTGATTCCACATCATATCAGTTTCAACCCGATCCGACAACGATCGGAAATCGTCGTCCGCCTGGAGGATGTGCGCCGCTCAGGAGTTAGCGTTGCCCACCCCGCCTCAACCCCGTCCAGCGGCTGGGCCACGTACTCGCGCCCGTACGTCGATGAGGAAACATATGACCTGATTCTTGAGATCGGTGACGAAACCACCATCGTCGACCTTGATACCAAGCACGTCGAATTCCTAAACTCGACTAAGGCGCGCTTCTCCAGCTTGCTGCAGATCGTAACGGGAAAGGTGAACCTCCCAGGCCTGTCGGAAGGTCAATCCACCTCGCCTAGTGTTAAGGTGTGTGTCGAACGAGACACGGACTTGACCATCGACGGACAGGTCCGGTATCTAGAAGCCTTCGCACAAGGATCCGAACAGGCAGATCCGTCGCAACCTGCAGCTAAGCGCAGACGAGTGGAAGAGCCATCAAAAGAGGGCGGACGGCATATCGTCCGGAATGGTCATTGGCGTCTAGGTTTCCGCCCGAATGCCACCGGCGACAGACTCGAGTTCATCCTGGCAGCGGTGAAACTGGATGCATATACAGAGCAGCGGAGTCGGAATCATACACGGGCGTTTCTGGGGTCTTAGCACTGATATCCTTGAACCAACATGCGCATTATCTTCTATTCCCACTTCGCCCACTGTTATACATTTACTATATCATGTCCGATGAAGAGTAAGAGTGATTATCAAACACACAACATCCACCTACCCCACACGATACTAGTAGTAACTCTCAATCAGCCCACTTACAATACAGCCAGTATGGCACCCTACTGAAGCCCACACTTTACACTACAACCACTTCCCCCACGAAAGCACAGAGACAATATCAATCAGCCAAGGCCAACAAAAAAAAAAGTAATCATATCCCCCCACCTGGGCAACACTAATACAAACAAGCAACCCCCAACACGCACCATAAACAACGTCAAACCAAGCCCCATCACCATATCCATTCCATCAAGATGATCACCCACAAAACACATACCCCCCTAACCTATCCCCAGAAGAGAACACAAGAAACAAGTAAACCTAAGCACTATACTCCACCAACCCCTTCAGAATCAACAATCCCTCCTCCGCATCCTCGTTATTCCCCGGCTTCAATCCATAGCTGAGGAGGAAGTTCGTCCACCCGCCGTAGGACTTGACGATGGCTCGCTCGGGAGGCGTGAGAGGTGGTTCTGGGGGTTTCTTGTTAGAGGGGTTGTCTTTGTAGGTTGGGTTTTTCTTTGATGGGGGATGGGGGGATGGACGTACGCAGACTGTCAGTTGAGGGCATTTTGGTGGGTTGGTTGGTTTGGGTCGGTATAGTTGGGTTGAGTTGGTGAGTGAGGTGAGGATGTTGTTTGTTGTTTGGTGGATTAGTATGAGGGCTGAGGTCTTGTCTTGGTTGGGATGTGATAGGTCATGTGCATACAGCGCAAACATTTAATGGAATTGGTCGCTGGCGCTTTAGGGTTGTTGTAGGGGTTGTGTATCTTGAGTAGAGGCATGGTTTGAGGAAGGCGTTGTTTGTGTTTGGTACATATAGCTGGCTTGTTACTTTGGATTGAATGTAGTAGTGATATTTATAAAATTGGGATATTGTCCATTGTAACATGAAAGGTTTTATAGTAGTAGATGTACATCAAGTATACTAGCGGTGCGGTGGAAGGTGGATGGACTGAGTCTAGTCGGAGAAGCCTGCCCATTCATCTTCATCGTTTTCGTCGTCTTCCTCTTCATCCTCTTCATCCTCATCCTTGTCCTCAGGTCCATGTTGAGAATTCTCCTCTTTACCAGCTAGACTCTCGTCCCTGATGAATCCGGCAACGAAGAATCCACCCAGCCCTTCGTCATCGCCAGGCCAACATCTCAAGCAGCCTTCCAGCTCTTCATCGGAGAGGTCAACCTTGAGCTCAGCGCTCCGTGTACCGTCCTGTGTCTGGCTGTCGTCGGAACTCCGGCTTTCAGTCCGCACACCTCTGTGCTTCCATGTCCTCAGTCCCTCCGGTTGCTCGTCCCTGCGCATAATTCTCCACCCACGACGCTTTGCCACCTCAGACGCCAAAAGCCGCTCAACAACCGACTCATTCTCGGTGAGATGGATGGAACAAGTACTGTATGTAATGCGTGTAGCAGTCGGAAACGACATCGCATGCTCCACAATGCGCGTTTGCAGATTCGACAGCTTCGTCAACCGCTCCAGGTCCAAATGCGTACTGGCCATCTCGTTCTCATCCGTAGCGGACATCGACACCGACCCCTCCGCAGCACCCTCGGTCTCATCCTGCCCCCGTTTCCTCTTCTTCCCCTGCTTCTTCCTCTCCTCCGCCGGCGACACCGGAAGAACAAACTTCGGAACATCATCTCGCCCAATGATCCCACTCCCCGAACAACTGGGATCCAGCAACAACGCAGAGACCTTCTCAAACCTCTCGTCCTCAGGATCCAGCGCCAAAAAGTCCTGTCCAGGAAGCACCGTCGTGAAGTGATCCGCACCCGCCGCCGCAACCATCTTCTGGAGCGTCTTCGCGCGCACCTGCGATGCATCCATGGAAATAATTCGCTGTCTTGGCCTCTTCCTCTTCTCACCCTTGCACAGCAGCGATGCCAAATGCGTCGTCTTATTCCCCGGCGCAGCACACCCATCTACCAAATCCCCACCATCCCAGACACTCCCCGCCCCGAACAACAAATACGCCGGAAAACAAGACGCCTTATCCTGCAGGATGATCTCCCCGTTCTTGTACGCCGGGGTGGCCGTGAAGTCAACTCCGGGAGCCACCGCCACCAGGTCCGGGATATGGGCGTCGACGTAGATCCTCTTGGTCTCGTCCTTGACCGCTAGCTCCGACAGCGCAGCCACCCGAGTATACGATGCGAAGGTACTCTCGAACTGTTTCTCCGCCGTGGTGCGCACGTTGTTGATCCGGATCCACCGCGGGTAAAACGCCGCCGAGCGCTGCGGCTGTTTCTCCTTCTGCACGGCGTCCTTGAGTTGCTCGATCGATGCGCATCCGCGGCGCACCCGCGCCTTGATGAATTCGCCCTTCAGTCGCGTCTTATGCCGCTCGATAGCCTGGCGGATGGGATGCGAGCTTGGCGCCGCGATGCCATTCTTCGCCAGAAGGTGGTCGTGCACCAGCAGGAGAGCCAGCAGTGGTGTGAGCTAGATAGTCCGGAAGAAAAGAGATTAGATCACTTTGCGCCAGGTCAGCCAGGATAATTAGCTACGCATTATCCGGTTCCCTCCTCCTCCTCCTCTTTCCGGGTGGGGAATGAAAGGGTCAGTTCACGAACCTTGGGCTCGAGTTTCAGGATGCCAGCATGGTCGATTACTTCCTTGAGGACGGTGTCCCATTTCGCGGCTTCCATGGTGAGGGCGTAGATTTGCGCCGGGTTGGCTTTGAGGTTGCGGGCGTTGTAGATGCGGGATTTGAAGGAGCCGCCCGTCGGGGAGGGGCTTGTGAGGATCTTGACGGCGTCGTAGTAGAGCGACATTTTGGTGTCTCTCTCTCTCTCTCTCTCTCTCTTTTGAGAGTTGGGGGTTGTTGGGTCGGTTTGGAATATTTTTCTGGAGAAAGAAAGGCGGTGTTTGCTTTGTTTGCAGGCGTTATCGATTGTATAGTTCGGTGGATACAAGAGGGATTGCGGTCCATAGAGAGAGTTTTAGTTTGGTTTAATTACGCTTATCTTAGCTCTGTAGGTAGTAATCTGGAATATTGAGTTTCTGGAACGATCTGATTATACTAATGCGAGATGAACGCATGCAAGGACTCGCCATATCTACATGGGATACTATGTACACCATGTCCCTTATCTCCGCATCTCCGAAGTATGTAAGATCCTATCCCACTCCACTTAGGCTCCTCCATGGACGACCATTTCCTCTATTCAATATTTGATACTTTCCCAATATATATGCCCCGTACTCTGAAACCTAATCCATACCATTAAACGAACGCCAATGCGCAACCAGCCCACTAACCTACCCAACCCACACCACATCGGTATACTAGCATACTAACTCACCACTAACCAAGAAGAGACGAGGGAATGTTGGATAGAGGAGCCAGGTGACAATGGAGAAGGGTAGAAAATATCCATCGCGATATAATTCGGCTTGTTTCGCTGCAGCATACGCTGCAGCCTGAGGTTCGTACGCCTCCGGGAGGGGTGAGGAAGATTACGAGGGTTGTGGAGGTGAGGATATTGAGGGGCCTGAGAAAAGATTGGCGGGTTGTATTTTGGCGTGAATTTGTGCATGTTCTAGCTAGTCAGGCTCAACAGTTTGTAGAAGGATTTTCTAAGGAGGGGAGTGAGGTAGTGTGAGAGACCGCGGTGAAAGGCTTGTATCGGCGGTTGGGGTTTGTGATGGATCAGAGCTTGGTGTGTGGGATTAGGGGTGGATTCAACATGTTGGGTGAACAGGTTGCAGTTCGAGCAGGATAGAAATGTATATACTACAAGTAATGTCCTACAAGTAATATACTACAACTTTTACACGTGGATAGACATAGTTGATAGATTCTCATATTGCATTACCAACACCTGTATATTACCATAAAACCCTTCCATAGCGCCAGAGTAAATCGTAAAAGATCGCCGTGCATAAGCAACATGACGGGGTATCCAGTAAGAGAGCAGAACGAAGATTAGAAAGAACAACCCCCCGTTTCTATGACGATCGAGTGGTAGCGAGCTGAACGCCGGAAGAAAAAAAAAAGAAAACCATAAGCCATAAGGTGGAAACCAGATCCGAACACCGTGCAAGTAACCGAAATGCTAAATCCCAGATGCTACGCCGAAGCGAAAGCCAAGTATGTTCTAGACCGCGTGTATGTAAAGCAAGTCCGCCAAAGCAGATGCGTCAAAAGAGTGGGATCGATGGCACCAAAGTGCATCGACAGCAAGACTCAAAAAGTTGAGTAGATTAGAAGGTGCTCCAGTTCCAGCCGCGAGGAATGCTGGCGGCAATCTCGGTGCTCTGACCCAGCATCGCAGTGAGTGCCTTCCTGGATTCTTCCTCGATGTTGTCCACATGCTCCGTGGTCTCCTCGGCCGCTTCCTCAGTTTTGATGTTCTGTGCCTCGATCAAGGTCTGGATCTTGTTGAGACGCTCGCTGCGCGACTCCTCCCAGCGCTGGAAGGCATGCCAGCACAGGTCACAGGCCCGAGAGGGGACGCCTTCGGGGTGGAAGCGAGCATCCTGGTCGAGAGGGACGACATGGGGAGTGTGAGAAGAACAGAAGACATGACCGCAGTGGCGGCAGTGATGGCGACGAAGGAAGAGACCGAACGAGGAGCGGCATGTGGGCGAGTCACAGTTGGGAGAGGCTGAGTCCGCCTATTGCATGTCTGTTAGCCACTGCTTGGGTGATTGAGTCGAACAAAGGGAGGCTCAGTACGGTGGGTGACATCAGATCACGCCATGATTCGCAATCCGATGATCCACGCGACATCCAGAGCCGCGCGCACGTCATACGAGGGATATAAAGCACACACGACCCCAGAGCGACCGTGCTTTGATTCTTGAGGAAATGGGATGGGAGATTTGAACGTACCTTCCAGTGATCTCTTGTAGGAAGACCAGTGACTTCACCAAGATGTTCATGCTTCATCCATTCATCCTGAGCCAGCTTGCTAATGCCATCGCTCACCGCACTCTCGATGGTGGAACGACGAGTCAGGGCCGGCTGGGGTTCCTCGCTGCCATCATTCAAGCTGTCAAGGGAGCCATGGATACTGCGAGGGGGGGATGGAGGAGAAGTCTTCTGAGGACGCTCGGTCGGGCGCAAGGCAGCGGCACGTAGAGAGGTCCCTTGGGTGGACGCAACTGGCGAGTCTGCAGGGGGAGATACTGCTGACGCGGGGAGGTCGGAGAGTTATTGGCGGTGTTGATCGGCGACGGCTGGCCGTAGACCGAGATCTGGTTGGTAGGACTAGTGGTGGCGGTGAGAACGTGAGTAGCATGATTGTAATACGAGATATGGATGGTCCAAGTAGAAATCGTGGTGGTAATAATCGTGAATCGATGGCGGTGGAGAGACAGATAGATAATAAATACGATCACCAGCGAGAGGAACAGAAAGTCGTCGTAATCAAGGGATCGTGGTTATTCTTCGAATGACAATGGCAATCACAAGTGAATCTTTAGATCTGGTGTGGTGAATGGTGTAAAGTTGACGGAAACCACTGAATCATTGCAAGTGGCAACCCAGATCGATGACGCCGTGAGTGTGGTGAATGTGTGGGGATTTGTTCGGCAGAAAGTAAGTTCCCAGTAGATATTGGGTTTGATAGGAAGATCGTGTAGATATAGTTCTCGGAAGGGTGGCAAGTGGTTGTAGTAGTGGAATCAACAGTCAACTACTAGTACTGTATGATGTTATGTCCGGAAGAGGGGAGAGGATCAGGGATGTAGAAGGGCAGAGAGACCACAACGATAATGATAGCGGGGAGAAGGGAGGGAGGGGGAACCATTAGACTTAAAAGGACAGTACTCGCACGAGAGAAGCCAGACAATGGAGGGAGATTAAAATAACATCAACCAAGGCGAGGCGAGGTTGAGCACTGACTTTGGGGGACCTGGACCCGGGACGATTTTGCCATGCGTCGGTGGAGCAGAAGATAAAATCACTAGTGTCCTTTTACCTATACTGCGTGTATTATTGGTGTTCCTCCATGTCTCCGGATGAAAGAAAATGGGAACCAAGCCAAATCATCAGCCATTTGAATCCGTCAGAGTAATAATAATGATAATAATAATACTAATAATTCACAGCCGCCATATTATTTGACGAAAATCCTCCCAAGCCTGGGAAGGTCGCTGAGACTAGAAAGTCCCGAAGAAATGTAGCGAGTGGAACCCCTTTTGGAGATCCCCGTCCAGTCGTTGCATCTCCATCCGTGCAGTCCATTCATCATTACTTCACCGTTAACATTCTTTGCCTTGTTTTGTATAGATCATGAATCCTGTGTACTTTTTTTTTTTTTGTTTTTTGTGTTTCTGTTTTGTTTTGTATTTTTTAATTTTCAAATCGTGTTTGATGTAAGAATGATGGACCATTCCAAAGGATCGTCGGATTGTCTCTTATCGCTTTCTTCGGGTAACGATATTCACATCCAGATGGCTACGTTGAACTTCTCTCCCGTCGTCAAGGAAAGATTCCGATGGGGGCAGCCACCCACTAAACCGGATTGGGAACGGTATTTTGCCGAGGAAGTGGAAGAAGGAAAGATTGGCTGCTTCTGGTTGGGCGGGATTCCGCCGAGCTTCAAATCCCTAATAATCTATCTAATCAGGGAGGATTTTCCGTCACGTCGGATGGTTACTCCGTCCCCTCATTGAAAAAAAAAGTCCCCGAGACAATGGCAAGATGATACATATTACATCCATCCAGAAAGTGATAATTATCCCATCCGGGTTAATTTAATTTGATTATGCGGAAGAAATCCTGGTCGGATCGACCAAGGAAAGATTAGGAAGGAAATCCAGAAGGAATGAGAGTGAGGAACGGGTGGTACACAGACTACATCCAGTACAGCAGATGCCACTCGGATCTCAGGAAATCCAACCAACCAACGCCCATCAATCCCTTTTTCCCGAAAACAACTTAAAAGTCATGATGACAACACTCCCGACCCTGGTTCCAATCCCTGTCCCTCCTTTCTTGACCGCTTTTTACCTAAAGCATGCCATCCTTCTTGCTACATTCTCTGGAGATCCGTCCATCTCCTATCATGACGCTGGAGTAATACCACACACTGTGGCAAGAGGCGTGACGGCCTTCCCCTTTGAGGGTTATCTCCCACTCGCTCCACTTTCCGAGAGATCATGTTTGATTATCCTACAGAGGACGGAGGAGTGTCTCCTTCGAGAAGTATAGAAGAGAGTTAAAATGAAGTAATGTTATTACTAGTAATCGTGGCGCCTGTCCCACCGCTTACCGTCCCGGTTACCCCGTCACAATGATTGATTGAAGTTGAGGCAACCTCCAAGCCGCCACCGGCAAATCAGCTGAACGCCCATCAAGAGCGAAGAAGGTGAGTGTCCGGTGTGCAGCAAAACGGACCCGCGAACCGAAATTACCTGGACCGTCATTGGTCGAAGCAAGCGAGAGAGTCGCATGTCGGGGACTCCACATCGTGACGTCGGACCCACGGCTCAGCCTGACCGAACTGGAGACTGGAGGTCACCGTTGCCTTTACTCTGTCGGGAAGAGTTCACGAGACAACCTACTCACTTAATCCCGTCGTTGCACCAAAACGCCCCTCCGAATCATCGCCGATGCTACCTTTTCGACTCATTCCCTATAGATGATACTCTTGAAAGGCTGGTCGTACTACCGTAAGATGGCAATCAGGACGGATGAGTGGGAAGGTGAATACGAAACGAGCAAGAGTTGAGTGAGTCAGTCGTATATCCCTTGCGACAAACACGAACAATCGACCCGATGGCGGTGAAATCATCAACGACTTGTCCTCCGTCCATACCTACACATCGACTACTACTGCGCAATAGTAGTACTAGTAGTAGTTAGAGTCGTCCGTCCAAACCAGTTGGTCAAAACGGAACAGTTCGAGAAAATGAAAGCAAAGGGCACTGGTTGGTTCCCACTCGAGTGAGATTAGTGCACGAGATGAAAGATAACGCTAACGGAGTGGAAACCAATCAATCCAAGCGGGTCTTGTCTTGGCTCGCCTCCGGATTGGAGGCCTTCTCATCTGGTTATCGTCGGGGTCTGATTGGCGGGCACCCATCACCCACGCTACGATTGGCCAGTGCTTCCGTGTCGTTCCTCGAGGTCAGCACGGACAGTCCCCGAAGTGAAATTGAAACCTCGATCCAGGATCGACCTTCCTGAGGCTTCCACATCCTCGGGGCAAGACGATTATGTAACGAATACTGGGAGAAACCGAGTTTCCTGCCTGCCTCGGGCCCACTCCCGACGGCCCACCGACTGAACCCGGTTAGCCCTGCCGTAGCGTCTACCTCGGCCGTTTGGGTTCCCTGGCCTCAAATGTCAGCCAGATGAGACGTCGATGCGACCTTGCCAATATCCCTGTCTAGTGTCCTGCGTCCGGATGCGCCCTGATTGGATTGGTCCCTCCTCTCCGTTGGTCTTGAAGCAATGCCACCAACCACCGACTTTTCCCATCGTCCCGAATATTCTAGTACACGAGTCTAAATGGCTACCGCGCCTGTAAGACATCCGCGGACTTACATATGCTTGTCGCGTGCCGGCCGTTTGCCCGGCATCCAGCCCGGTCTGGACGGCGATCCCTGACAAAGCAGATACGACCGCGACAAGGGAGAGATGCATACCATCTACTGCTATCTCGTCTACTCGATCAAGATCTGTACCTGGTATATTCGCGTGCTTCGATCGCGTCAATTTTAAAATCGATCCGGGATCAATCCTATTGAGGTCGTATACGCTGCCGTAGCTGGGGAGAACAGCGCGATACTCAAAACAGCAGAACCACAACAACCTCCCCAAAGCGTACCTGAGACGAAATGGAGAAGCCCGCCACATGTGACCACGGGATCCTTCCATTCCCCTTCCATTCCCTTTCCATAAAAGATGAACCCAAATAAATGAAAGAAAAAGAACCGGGAACCACGCGACTATGAATAATTAGTCGAAATAGCTTACTCAATAAATCACTGTCGAACCATGGTTCATCCTCCTCAAACCGCCCAACCACGGCACAACAGATGAGAATCGCCGTCGATCTCCTCCCAGAAGGGCAATATCGAAGAAGATTCGACGCGACCTTCTGTTCCCACTGAAAGCTTAATCCCCCCGGCGGTCAACAAGAACGTTGAGTCCACTTGTCATGCTTGACCTTTCGGTCGGTAACCGCGGGAATGTGCAATGGATCCCCTTGTGCCTGAGTCCGTCTAATGAGACGAGGGATGATTATGCTTCCCATTCTTGAGACGGATCCACTGATTGACCGTTGTGAGCGGTGAGGATAAAACTACGGAGCAAGTACGGAGTTGTACATACACAGTAGTATTCATCTGCGAAGTGAACACCGTGTACTCCGTACCTCCCTTGGTTCATCTGTAGATCCTCTCAACCGATCGTTGTGGATAGTGAGGCGCACACGGGATCGAAAATCGGGTCAGTCCAAAAGATGTGCGAGCGACTGTCCCGGAACTCCGGATCAATAGGTGGAAGACCATTCATCCGGCCTGTCGGGTTCGTGTTCTTCCCTCGATCATATTTTTAGCCTTCAGTTAAGGTATACGTCTCCCAACCGCCTCGACAACATACCGTCTACATTTTTTCCCCAAGGTCACTAGGTACCTAACCATCCAAATTCCCAACTGAAACTCGCATGAGACTCTGTACGGAGTCTAACCAATGTAAAACGCAACAATGCCCGTTTTCAGATCTGCGTTGCATCTCCCTGTCGATCTCCTGCTCCCGGACTAGTCCCACCTGGGTCCTAGTTGGCCGGTTTAGGGTTATCGCTGCAAGGGGTCGTCCATCACCAGGTGCATGAAAGAGCGTGGCTTTTCTTTGTTTGAATTACGATCCCCGATGTCGTGCAACGCATTCACCGGCTTAAGCTTTGGCCTAGTGCATGTGAGTCGTCGTGTCGCAGTGGCTCTGTTTTTAGCTCAAGTTGAAGCCATCATTGTAAGTAGGTTCAGTATGTACACCGACAGTTTTAAGGGGTCATGAGATAGCAGGGCTTTCTTTCTTTCTTTCTGGCGCCATAATTATTGATGGCGTCGAGGGTTGCTTTGTTTTGTGGAGAGCTGGTCTTGCGTAGGTTCGCTTTGTCCCCTGGTTGTTTTTATATATCTGAACACCCCGTGCATGTATGTACTGCTATCATATCGCAGTTATAGGCCAGGAAACTATTAATTCATAGAGTTCATGCTTTGAATAGTCTGGCTTCTTTATCGAGGTGACTAGCTCGTGGAACTATATACTCATTATTGAGGCCAAGGACACTTGCACAAAGGGATAACTGCTCCTTGAACCACCACACTTCTTAGCACAGCCTGCATTCAGCTAAATTACTTCGGCAATACTACGCTATGTAGCGATGAAGTGAGACTTTGCAAGAGGTGCTTAGACTTATCCCTTTAATTAATTAATTTATTTTTTTTTATAAAACCAAAGACCGTTAGGAAGATCTAATTGCCACCTTTACAAGACCAAACAAATGGTGTTTTGACTAGATAATACCAAATTAATATTGTCTTTGACAGACCGTTTTGCAAACATCTCGAGACGTAGCGTATCATACATATGGGATACCACTCGAAACAATGCCTTGAGGAACATAAGCAGAGACACAACATACAACCCAGTAACAGCCTTGATCCCCTGAAACGAGAAGAATGGAAGCTCCCAATGCGCCACCAAGCATACCTGGGATACCAACATACGCTAGTGCCGTTCACTTCGATATCCAGCTAGAGCACGCCTGTCATTTCCATACGGTCATCCTCTTCCATCCACCGTGTCAATACCGCCTCGTCGACTAATGCTTTCTTCCGGACCTCAATCATTTGCTTCCCCAACTCTTCCGCTTGTTTCAATCGGCTTTTAGTCCCCCGGATTTTGCAAGCTTTCGAGCCGCTA